TAGTTTAATGGGATCTTAAGATGACTAGGGGCAGTGTGCAGAAGGAAAAAATCCTGAGGTGGGACTGGACCAACATGAACTCAGCTAGTGAGTTTATGCATGATGGATGGATAGACTTGTGCGGCATAAGGATTGTATGTCACCATTTTTTCTATCTCTGGGAGTCTGTATTAAGGGGGTTTGTGCCTCAATGGGGTTGTGATCACTGGGGCTGTGCACCCCTAGGGTTACGTATCCCTGGAATTCTGTGACACTAAGACTGCATGTACCTGGAGTTCTATGCTTTAGAGTTGGGTTGGGGGTTCCTGAGTCACACTAAGTTAGCTGTATAGACTTCATAAGGTTGTACCTTGGTGTGGGATTTGTTCAATTTATGACATGGATTGTGGGTGTCATATCATGGCACTGCTGAGATTATGCACACCTCCACTTGGGTTTCCTTAGAGCTGCCTGGGCAGGGCCCACAGAACCCAGCAACTCCTCCCCACCTGACCTGGGGAGACCAAAACATCCTAGCCTGGTGGCATTCTGGGATCTGTAGTTCTCTGGCTGTCTGCACAGTATCCCCTTGAGCCCCTGGAATATAAGCAGGCCTCTCCTTACAATGTGCTCCCAGAAGGAGAGGAGATGGGGCTGAGCCAAAGCCATGCTTGGATGTCTCTTGGGAAGCATGTGTCCTCCAAGCCCCCTGCTTGGGCCTGTCTCAAGTGACAGATGGCTGGAGCCAGGCGGGGCCAGCTCTCAATCATAGCAGGCATGACTTCCAGGCCCTAAAATAGCCCCAGGGCCTAAGGAGATCATTAATTACCTGATGCAGCTGGGGGCTGCTCTGTCTTCTGGCCTAGTTGGGGATGGAGTGGGGCTGGAGGGCTGACAGAAGGGTCTTTACTGGTTGGGTTCTTCACTAGGGGAGCAAGGGCAGACGGGAAAGTGGGACAGTTACATACTATGGGCCCCCTTCATTAGGCAGTATTTCTCTGGGTTTGAACTTCGGGAGGTAAATAACTAATTGATAGGTGTATCTCCGTGGTGAGATTTGAGGGATCTAAGGGAGGGCTCACTTAATGCTTCAAGATAGTTTTCCCTTCAGCCTTCACTATGCCTGAAGTATTTTCATTAAGACTTCACTCCTCTGGGTGAAGAGCAAGGTGGCACAGGGATGCTTGGGGAGGACAGACCTGGGCAACTTTCTCACAGAGCCCAGAGACTTGAGAGGTCTCTGAGTGGGGGTGGGGGGTGGGGAGAGAGCCTGAAAAACACCTTGCTCTTTCACTTCTATCAGATCCTCTCACCAGAGGCCTGGTTGATTTAGGACCTTGAGTCCTGTGAGGCTGGGTCAAGGTCTCTGAAGGTTGAGGGTGAGGGTGAGAGAAGGAAGAGGAGGATCTGCAGACAGGGCAACCGGCTAAACGGTTGTCAATCTGTCCATCTGTGAATCAGCAGCAGAGAGCAAGGAGATGCTGCTGTTCTGCCTCTTTCCAATCAAATAGCCTGGCTTGGCATTCAAGGCTCCATGGAATCTGCCCCTTTCTGGTCTTATCACTCATATCTACCCCAATACCAACTAAGCTGCAGTCACTCAGGATTCCTTGACACCTCCACACACGTTGGAGAGACAGCCTGAGGGAGCTGGCAGATCACTGGTTCTGGTTCAAGTCTCCATCTATCCTTTATCATCTGTGTTATCTTGGGACAATCACTTCTCTGAGCTTCAGTTCCTTCATCTGCAAAATGGGTATACTGCTACTCAATCTGACCATTTCAGCTGTAAACACAGGAATAATAGACCCTACCCCTCAGGTCTATTATGAGGACTAAATTAGATAACATGTGTAAAGTATCAAGGACACAAAACATGCTCAATAAATGTTGGTCCCTTTGTTAAGGCAGACTGTTGACAGTTTAGCCATCCTTTAAGAACCAGCTCAAAAAATACCCTCTCCAGGTTTTTCCTGGGCTCCCAGTTAGAAGACTAGAGCTCATTTCATGGCCTGCTTTGAACAGTTCCTACCACATAGTAGGCACACAACAAATATTTTTTGAATGAGTAGATACCTTATAGTTCTGTCAGTGGGCTGTCTCTCCCTGCCCAGGAGAGCCAGAACCCTGTTTGCTTCACCTTTGTTCCACAGGCACCAGCTCAGAGCCTGGCATTCAATTTGTATAGGTGCAATTTTTTAACATCTTTGCCCTCTAGGAGCTTGGAATCTAATTGAGGAAACAGGACTGATCCAGAAAGACCTGAGTTCAAATTTGCAACATCTCCTCTTAGCTAGGTGACCTTGAGCAAGTTCCTTTACCTTTCTGGGCCTCATTTACCTCATCAGTGAAATGGGCACAATACTTTTCACTCTGCCTACCTCATGGGGTTGTCATGAGAAGACATGGAAATAACAGTGTTTGTGGAAATGCTTTGTAAATTGCTAAGATATGTAAGGGGGGAATATAATATTATTAATAGTGGCAGTAAACAATTATAAGCAATTACTCTGTGCTAGGAATTATTCTAACAGCTTTCCGTGTGTTAGTTCATTTAGGAGGGCCTAGCAACCATATGAGGTAGGAAACCGTGGCACAGAGAGATTAAGAACTTTCCCAGTTAATTCCAAGGGGCAGAGCTGGGATTTGAACCCAGGGAGTCTGGCACCCTGGCCCACACTGTTACCTACCATGCTATGCTGCCTCCTTTTACTGTTCCCACTGATAACATTACAGACTTAGGTGCTGAGTTTTGAGGGCCCAATGGGCTACCGTAGAATTTCAGGTAGCTGGGAGCCTGCTGAGGGCTGGAGGCTCTGAAGGGAAGGGAATTTAAGCTGTCTCTAAAGGACAGGTAAGAACTGTAGGATAGGAGAGCAAAAGGGAGTTCATTCCAGGCAGAGGGAGTAGCAGGAGCAAAGCCACAGAGATAGCACTGGGTTTGGTGTGTTTGGGGGACAGTGAGGAGGCGAAACTGGCTCAAAAAAACGTATCTGCCGATGAGGGTGCGGGAAGGGTATTAAATCCCAGGCATGGATTTTGGACGGTGAGAGGGAGATGCTTGCTCATTTCATCTGTAAACCTGTAACCTCCAAAGGTGTGAGAAGCCAAAAACAGTCCCTGAGTTGACTTCTTCCTGGGGGAGAGAGGGGGGACAAGCAGAGGACCAAGCCTGCCGGAGGCATACCCTCCTTCCCAAGGATGTTGGAAGGGTCGGTGGAGAGGGAAGGGGTAAGATACGGTGTGAGATGAATGCCTGACCCCCCAGTGGTGGCCATGTAGAACTGCAGATCCGTGAACCTCAAATGAAGCAGTAGGGACTAGCCCCCATCCCCACCCCCACCCCACAATTGAGGCTGAAACACATCCCAGAGCTGGACGAGGTGGCAAGGGTCCCTTGGGTTAATCCCCCTAAACTGGGCCTCCTGTGTGAGCAAGCCGTCTATGAAAGGAGCCAGTGTAGCGTGGTGGTTTAGAGCACAGGCTGAGTCAGGCTGGGTTGACACTTATTGATCTTGGAGATTTTCTTAAGCTACTTTTGTCTAGTTTTCCTACCCATAACGTGGGGATAACAGTACCTCCTTCACAGGCTTATTGTGAAAATTCAATGTGATAATGTCTGTAAGCACATAGCACATTATCTAGCACATACTGAGTGCTCAATCCCTAGCCAGCTGTGGCAGTAACCCAGAGGCTCTTATCTTCTGGCTCCCTGGTTCTGCAAGCCTCTCCCCACCCCACTACGGACACCACCGCCGCCATCACCACCACTTTGAGGGAGACTGGAAGACAGGGGAGGGGCTCCAGGAATACAGCGGGGCTGTGTGGCTCCCTTGGAAGGTTCAGATTTCCCTCCTACTCTGGGTTTCTCCATCAGCTCAGTAAAGATTCCCAAAGAACAGGGAGGGTTTTGGCAGCTCCTGGGTTGAGGCCCCTGCCAGGTGGAAAGGAAGAGCACATCCCTCCTCTCCCAAGGAGCTTGATTCTCTGGGTCCCAAAGGCAGCTGCAATAAGTCCCCTCCCCAAAGGGTCATGATAGGGCTAAGGGGCTGTTTCCTGACCAGGCTACTGGACCTAATCCTCCCTCCCTTGGGCCTCAGTTTCCCTGTGGCCTGTGGGAAGAGAGTGCTTCCCGCCTCTCAGTCTCCATGACAACCGCAATCGATGGTGGTGGTGTCCTCCTGACTGGAGAGGTCACCACCTTCTCCTCCCTTATATTCTCATACACTTTCATGCAGATACAATTACACAACCACCACAGACCCATACTCCTAATTATATGACACATCCATACTACCAATCTTCAGACCCACATGCCACAACCCTGCTAAAATACAGATACCTCACACCCCATACACACTCAGAAATACTCCAATACACTCTCACACACACACCCCACAGACACCCAGGTTACATACCCATATACACCACACACACCGCTAAGACAGGTGCACAATCATGTGTAAACACACACACAGACACACGTAAGAGGAGGTACACATACTCTCCATACACATACAGGAATATACACACAAGAAAACACTCAGATACCCATAACATATTCTGACTCACACATCTATTACTTATGCATGGGCAGCTCCTAGTTTCACACACACACACACCCTGCCCTTCCCTGCCTTCTCTCTAAGCACAGGTCTTCCCTCTGCCCCCTCTCTTTGGTACAGAGTAGCCACAGGCTGTCTGAGGGAAGCTGTCTCAGGGGCAGAGGCAGGGCACTGCCCCCCTTCTGTGGTCTGGCCTGGCCCATAGCCTTCACACCAAAAGCTCTGGAGGAGATACCAATCCATAGGCAGGAGTGGCCCCGTGAAGAGGAAGAGGCTGTGGCTTGGAGGCTGTGGCTGGGAGGCCTGTGGGGAGGCGGGGGGAGGGGGAGAGGGAGGAGATCCGGGGAGCGAGAGGGGGAGGGAGACTGCAGGCAGTCCTACTCAGGCTGGGGAGCCTGAGGGGGAGGAAGTGTGAGAAGGGAGGGCCAGCCTCAGCCTGTGGGGCCATGCCCCCGGCCCACCATGAACCTGGAAGGGCTGGAGATGGTCGCTGTGCTTGTGGTCCTCGCCCTGTTTGTCAAGGTGCTGGAGCAGTTTGGCCTCTTTGAGCCTGTCTCCTTGGAAGGTAACCCAGGTGTCTGGGCATGTCTGGCCCGCTGGCTAGAAGGACAGTGGCCCGCAGGGTTGGGGAGAAGACTACTCTGACTTTATGACTGGTGTGAGGGCTGCAGGGGTAAGCAGGTTAGTGAGGGGATGGGACATCTGGGGGAGGGGAGTTGGGGGAACAGGACATCTGGGAGAGGCAAAGAGGGGGACTCAAGGAGTGGACCTGGGGGAGGCGAGGAGGGAATCTGGGGGATTGGGTGTCTGAGGGAGGTGAGAGAGGGCCAGGAGCCAGGGAGGTGATGAGGGGGTACAGCATGGGGGGACTGGGATTGAGGATAAGGGGAAACTGGGGGGAATGAGGAAAAGTCTGGAGACAGGCAGGGGTATCTGGAATAGAGGAAGGAGGTTCCAGGGGTCCTGAGATAACACCAGACTTCTGGGGAGTCCCTTTTGGGGCCAGGGACCCACAACGGCTCTGAAGATGTGTGTGACTCACCACACCTCCATCCTTGCAGGTGTGGGTTACAGGGTGTGTGTGGACTCAGTGTGTGAGAGATACAGGGGGTGTGGCTGTGTGTTCATGTGTGTGAGAAAGGACAAAACGTATGACTACTTGAGCCTGTGTATGTGACAGGGGTGTGATTTACTGCGTCTGAGTGACAGAGTGTGTCGCTTTATGAGATGGCAGATGTGACTGTGCCTGAGGGGCATGGAGTGTGTGGCTGAGCCTCTTTGGGCATCTGATTGTGTGTGTGGCTATTCCCAGAGTTCCCTAATGTTATACCAGCTCCATACCCAAGGTTAGGGATGGGGTGGGTTCTGGAGGGACAGGAGTGGGATCACTGTGAATGAGACATTCATAGACAAATCTGGTAGGACAGTGAGGGGTGGATCGGATCAGGGACCCTGCCTCCCAAGCCGCCTTGCCTCTCCCAGGTCCTCTCAGGATCTAAGGGCAGAATGGGCTCCAGAGTCTAGAGTGGGAAGTGGGAAGGCAATTCTCCACCCAACCCGAAAGTCAGGTGGGGAGAGTGATACTGGAGGTAGAGAGAGGAACATGTTCTGCCTCCCCAGGGAGTTTTAGCCTCTCCCTCTTCTTCATGCCGAGACCTGTGCAGCTCCATAGCATGGCTACAGGAAAACAGGCAAGAACCATGATAAGAGGACTGCAGGGTAGACACCTGGGAGAACTGAAAAAATGTGAAAGGAGCTAGGGAAGAAGGTCCGTGAATTGCCTGCTCTAGAATTCCGTAAGAGCAGAAAACTCCTAGTCTACCCTCCATCCTCTGCTGCATTTATTGGGGTGGGGTGGGGTGGATCGCAGGGATTGGTCCTAGATGAACTGGGATTCATCCAGTCCTGAAAAGATGAAGTCAGTCGGGCTCTAACTTTCCATCCCCTTTAGACTATTGGTGGGAAGGGGGGAGGCATCCTGTCTGCTGAAGGCACCCCCTTTCTCTTCCCACCTTCAGAGGAGCCAAGAGGAGACTGAGTCCTTGGAGCAGGCAGGGGACCAGATGGGGGGATGTGTGAAGAGGGGGAGGTTGGGAGAGGCAGGGGGAGCCAACCCCCAGTCGAGAGGCTACTACACCACCAGAGGCCCCAGGCACAATCGGCTTCGGGAAACCAAAGTCCGGGCTAATGGAGCCCTGGGCCAGAGGCCAGGCCGCCATCGATCCCTCACCCAGCTCACTGCCTCCCTCCCACCTCTCCATAGCTCCTGGGGAGAGAGGACAAATGGGAGGGAGAGGAGGTGCTGACTTCAAGCAGTTCCCTTCTGGGAGCACAGCATCTTCCTGAGGGTGGAGCCGGCTTGGAAGGCAGGGCCTGCAAGGGAGCTGGGGTGCCAATCTACAACTAAAGGAAATTGGGCCCCTCCAGGAATGGACTGAGGCCAGCTTCAGTCAGTATGCCAGGTCCAGTGAGCTCTGGCCCTCGAGTCTGGAGGTGGGTGCAGCCAGGAGATAGACACACAACAGGAACTTGGAGGGTCTCCCTGGGATACAATTAGAGCCGTAGGACACATGTGTAAATAAGAGGAAGTGAGGAGAACTGTGATCAGTGGGCTCTGGGTAGTCCCACATTACAACAAAATACTCATCTCCAAGGTCTGTCATTGCCTGAAAGTTTGCTATCATTTCACCTTCAAAGAGTAAGCCATACTGGAAAAGACTGGGAAGGGACACACTTTTAGGGTGGATGAGTTCTCTGAGAACTCTGTTCTGCTGGCGGGAAGATTCTAGGTGCCTTGGAATGAGGGGTTATAGGCAAGAAAGGTGGGGGTGTACCCAGGGCAAATGCAGGTTCTGTAGGTGAGGTGCAGTCTTAGGTATCTGGGTGCCATGGGCACCTAGGTCACAATATGATATGGGCATGTGTGTGGTGACCTTGATATGTCATGGTGACCACACTGTGATGTGATGTCCCAGGGTCATTGTGTGTTCTTGTGTGGTTTGATCGTGCTGTGTGTAAGATGGCCTGTATGGTTCCTAATGTATGTCTGTCATGTTTTTCCCAGGTCAGTCACATTTGTATATGTTTGTATTAAGAAGTACTAGGTCAAAGTGTGTATGTCTGTGTGTGTGTGTGCATGTGTTGGGAGGCCACTGGGTATGAATGAGGTACTAGGTATCAAGCGGTCCTTGTGTGGCATCCATCACTCTGATTTATCATACTATGTATACACACCTGTCACTGTGTGTGTGTGAGAGAGGCAGGCAGCCCCCGGGTTGGACATCACCCTCAGAGGTCCAGCTGTAGCACTGGAGCCAAGGACACTGGGTCAACAAAGACTGAGGCCAATGCTACTTCCTCCCCCCACCCCCGGCCACCTCGCTGTTCCCAGCTGTGTCCCTTTATACAAGGTGCGGAGCCACCTTGGTGGACTTTCCATGCCTGTGAAACCCACTGGACTCCCCTAACCGGCCCCAGCTACTCTCACCATTACCCACCCCCCATATTCCCCCAACACCTGCCCCCAGCCAGGGTTGATTTGTGATGGTGGGGAGGGTACAAGGAACAGAGGGACAGTGGGGTTAATGTACCTTCCTGGGGTCTTCTCTCTTCCCAGGCCACCCTCCAGGGCCCACTAAAAAAGCGCTGAAGCAGCGGTTCCTCAAGCTGCTGCCTTGCTGCGGGCCCCAAGCCCTGCCCTCAGTCAGTGAAAGCAAGTGCCTCTCCTGTGCTTCCGGGGGCGGGGCCCGTATGTGTCGGGGTGTGACCGGTGTGAGGGGAGCCGGCCTGCGTGAGTGTGTGTGGGCGTGACCAATGTGGCGGAGGTGGGCTGGGCACTGACTAACCAGGAGTGTGAGGGGGCGTAGCTACGCAGCGCAGAGCGGAATGTGTGGGCGTGGTCAGTTTGGAGGCGGGGCCTGAGTGTGTGGGCCATCTGGGTGTAAGAAATGGGCAGGATCTGGGTGTTTGGGCGTGGTCAGTGTGACAGGCTGAGGCCACTCTGAGCCTGTGTGAGCGTGACCAGTGTGGCAGGGGTGGGACCAGGCGGCTGTGAGGGTCTGTGCGTGGCTTAGCTGGGGTTAGTGTCTGGCCGCCCTCCCCGCCCCTGGGCATGTTTTGGGCCTTGAGATGTAGGTCATCAATGTCTTGACTAGATGGATGCAAGTGTAATGATGGAGCCCGCCTTCCTCCAGATGCCAGGATACCTGAGTTTCCTAGTACCAGCCTGGTCCCCAGTTGAGTGACCTCGCTTTGTCTGTAGGCCTCAGTTTCCTCATTTGGGCTTTGCCCACCTCACAGGATTATACATACTGCATCTTTGCAAGCTATAAAGGCCCGGTTTTGAGAAGGTCGTTGTGTTTGATTCTGCTGGGTCCCACAATGGGGGTCGATTCGGAAAAAGGGCAGGGGGATGTGCGCGGGGTCCGATTCGTGTGTGTCTGTGCTCATTCGTTACGTGTGCCTCTGTGCGCGTGGGGGGCTGGGGTGTGTGCACTGTAACACGCAGGTCTGTGAGATTTGCTGTGAGTGTGAGGGGCGAGGTGTGTGCAGCTGGCCGGGTCCTCCGCTTTCTCGGTGACAGTTCGCTCCCTTCAGCATTAGCCGCCCCAGCCTCCCTCCGCCCCCACAGACCCCGCCCGCTGGACCCAGGTGACTTACTCTCCTGGTGGGGGCGGGGGCGGGGGACTTCGGGAGCCTGGGGTGGGGGCACCTGCCTGGGGAATGGATGTTGGGAACAGGGGCGGGGCTGATACGGGGCCAGGGGTGGTGGCCTTCTCTAAGGCACACTAGTGCTGTGGCAGGAGTGGGGTGTGGAGGGGGCTTGGCTGGAGCTGGGCGGGGCATGGCTCGGGCATGGCTGGGATAGGCGGGGCTTGGCTGGAGGGAAGGATCTGGGCGGGGCAAGGGTGAGACCGGGCGGATCTGAGTTGGTAAGGGGAGGCCCAGAGCTCGAACCCTCAGAAGCCCCCTCTCCAACCCAATTTTCCTACTCCTGGCCTTCTGGGACAAAGACTGGGCTGGGGGCCTTCCCCTCCAACCATGGATCAAGGGCCCAGGGGCCAGCGCTGACTCAGACCCCGGGCTCTGGGGCCAGGCCTGGCCTTGGCCTGGGCCCGCTGATATACCTCGAAGCCGACCAGCATCTTCTTGGCTCTGGGTCCGGGGAACTGGCAGGCTGGTCTCCGGCGTCGGATATGGGGGGGATGGATGGTTCAGTGATTTTGAAGAGGGGTCGTGGGGGACAGGCCTGAGGCGCGGCTGTCCCCCCCAACCGCCCCCACCCCGCAGACAGCGTGGAGGATGAGTTTGAACTGTCCACCGTGTGTCACCGGCCCGAGGGTCTGGAGCAGCTGCAGGAGCAAACCAAGTTCACGCGCAAAGAGCTACAGGTCCTGTACCGGGGTTTCAAAAACGTGAGTGCAAAGCAGAACCAAACTGGGGAGGGGCAGGGCCTATCCAGGACTTTTCTGAAAGGTTGGCCTGGAGGCTTTGAGGAGTGACAGGGGAGGGGAGGAGAAGGGACAGCTCCCCTTCCACCACAGACCAAACTTCTAGGTTCCTGCTGGTTTGAGAAGGGGCGGAGCCTGTAGATTGGTCTGTCAGTTCTGTGTTTTTTATTTGTGCGCTTGGGAGAAGTCTTTCCTCCAGGAGAAGAGCTATATGGTGAGCCCCCTGGAGACACGAAGATTTCCCCTCTCTCTGGGAGTCTCTGGACAGGGAGGGTTGGGTGGGAACCTGGGGGGTGAGGGGCGGTGAGTGGAAGGGGGTTTTGTCTCTTCCTTCAGTCTGGTTTCCTTCCCTACGCTACCCCCAGGAATGTCCCAGCGGAATTGTCAATGAGGAAAACTTCAAGCAGATTTATTCCCAGTTCTTTCCTCAAGGAGGTGAGGGGACAAGTCCTGAGAAGAAGCAGCTGTCCATCTCTAGGCTGACTTGGGGAGAGGGCTGGAAATGCCAAGTGAATGGGGTTTGAGGAGCCCCACAGAGGTAGGGAGGTAGGAAGTCCTCTCCTGTCTGGAAGCCAAGCTTACTCATCCACACTTATCCTGCAGACTCCAGCACATATGCCACTTTTCTCTTCAATGCCTTTGACACCAACCATGATGGCTCAGTCAGTTTTGAGGTGAGCTGGAGACTGTGGGCCAGGGAAGCATGTTTCCTGGGGCTTCAGGGCCAGGCCAGACCCAGAGAGAGGGTTGGGTGAAAGGTATCAGAAGACCCATTTTCCCCTGCCTCCTTCCTAGGACTTTGTGGCTGGTTTGTCAGTGATTCTTCGGGGAACCACAGATGACAGGCTGAACTGGGCTTTCAACCTGTATGACCTCAACAAGGATGGCTGCATCACCAAGGAGGTACAAGGCAACTGAACAGCTGGAGGGGTTGTATGTGTGTGGGGAGGTGTAAAGGGCCCATAGGAGGGAAATGTGACCCACATATACATCACCAGCAAGGGGTGGGGTCTGCCCTAGGCTCTAGGCCTTCTAGTTTGGAGGCTGGAGGCTCTGAGGAGGGATCCTCTTCTCTCTCGGCCTAACAGGAAATGCTTGATATCATGAAGTCCATCTATGACATGATGGGCAAGTATACATATCCTGCACTCCGGGAGGAGGCCCCAAGGGAACACGTGGAGAGCTTCTTCCAGGTGCCTGGGACTGGGTAGGCTGGGTTTTAGAGTGAAGGGAAGGAGGTGAGGTCGCAGAAGGGAACTTACCCGAGTTCTGCCTGCCTCTCTCTTGTCATCCCTTCTGTTTTCCCTACCTGACTACTTTTTTGCAGAAGATGGACAGGAACAAAGATGGCGTGGTGACTATTGAGGAATTCATTGAATCTTGTCAAAAGGTACAGGGCCCTGCCCTCTACATTTCCCTGGTTTGGACTCAGGGCCTGATTCAATGATGTAAGAGAAGGCTCCTTTGGGCAGAGTACTATTTCCCTAACTCACCGCTACCTCTGAATCTTTTTCCTTCATAACTTGGGGAGGCCTGTCCCTTCGCCACCTCTCTGGGTGTCTCCTTCCTCACTGCCTCTCTCTGTCTCTGAATGTCCCCATTTCTGAGTCAGTGTCCTTCTCCCTGTCTCTGATAAGCTCTTTTTCTTTCTCTCCAATCTGCCTCTCTCCCACCATGGCTACAGGATGAGAACATCATGAGGTCCATGCAGCTCTTTGACAATGTCATCTAGCTCCCCAGGAGAGGGGGGTCAGTTGTCCTGGGGGGACCATGCTGTAGCCCTAGTCCAGGTGGACCTCACCCTTCTCTTCCCAGGTCTGTCCTCATCCTAGCTCTACCCTGGGGGCTATAGGAATCCAAGAGCCTGGGGATTCAGTGGTTCAGATTGCTGGAGCTGAGGGGGCTATAGAGTGGGCAGAGTGTATCTGTGGGGTGTTCCCAACTCCCAACAGCTCCCCCTTCCTGTCTGAAACTCAGTGCTGAGGGTGCCCCTGCTACAGGAATTGAGTGGTCCTCCCCCTTCCACTCCCACTTGAGAAACCACAGTGCTAGACAAAATGTCTCCTGCTATGGTGCTTCCCCCATCCCTGATCTCATAACCATTTCCCCTAAGACCCCCTTAACAGAAAGGCTGTTCTGTCATTGGCACTGACTGGCCTTTCAGACCAGGGCCTTTGAGAGCCCTGTAGGAGGTGGACAAGAATGTAGAGGGAGTAATCTTGGGCCTGAGCCAGTGCATAGGTCCTAGGAGGTAGCTGGGTTAGAGAACAGAAGAGCCTGGGGATTATCAGTGAGAGCATGCCAGGCTATAGCTTTCAGCTCTACAGGTCTGCCATTCAAAGCTGTCAGAATATGAATTTCCAGGCTCTTCAGAAGACCTTGTTTCCTTGGAAATACCCCAGAAAATTTCCAAGTATCCCAGGAGAGTCTGGGATCCTGGTGTTTGGCTCATTCCCTCCTCTCCTCCCTTCCTGTTTGTGTAGTGGTGGTGGCAGTGGGGGGGAAGATAGGTGGGAGCTGTCTTGGCTGATACCTGCCAAAGTTTCAGCCTACCCTCTCTGATGGCTACAACTTAAGTTTTCATTTGCCATTTCCTCTCGACTTGGAGGCACAGAGTAAGTCAGGGACAACACAGTGGATGCCTTAGAAGAAAAAGGAAGGAAGGAGGCGGGCATAGATTTGAACCCAGTGTGGGGGCATTTATTAGACTCTGTGATATACCCAGGCTGTATTCCTGCCCCCCGACATAGCCTCCTAATTGCCCACCCAGAGTCTCCTCTTGCTCTATTCAATCTACCCAGAGATGCCCCTGAGCACACCTTGAAGGCAGGAACATTAGGACCCAGGTCCCACCTCACTGTCAGCACCCCTGCCGTGCCGCCACCCCTTAATATATCTGCTTGTCCCGTTTAGCTCACTCTCCCAGTCAGCTGTGATCTGAGGGGAGGGTCCCCAGGGAGCCCCCTTTCCTATCAGAACACTGTTGACTGCTTTGCATTTTTGGTTCCTCTGTAATTTTTGTAAAATAAGAAGTACACCAGATCCAATAAAACACAATGGCTATGCACAGGCTCTGTCTGCCTTTTTGTCTCTCCTACCCCGCACATAACTCACAACCCGTAATTCATACAGCCTTTTGGATTCCAGAGAAAATGCTTCCTTTCCTATAGTATGGCCAACCCTTGGCAGGAGATCAAGACACAGGTTCTGGAAGGGTTGGAAACCTACTGGACCTCAGAGAGGCCCCCGAATCTCCCTCCCACATCCTTAGAGGAGACAAGGAAGAGAAAGGTGATTGATGTCCTGAAGACTATGCCAAGCAAGCTGTCTTTTGGCTAAACATTCTTACAAGTCAAATCCAGAATTTCTAATTTACAGACATCTTCGTTAATTTCAAAGTGTTTTCTTTTGAGAGGGGAATTCCCTTTAGTTTCTAATGAAAGTTCCTTTGTATAAACATCCCAACCTTGCCTCTAGTACGGAGGTACATTTGTGTCTATACTGCAGCCAAGAATGATGGGGGAGCAGATGAAGTGGACCCAGGGCAGGTCACCGTGGAGCAGGTGACACAAAGGGTAATAGAAACTTCCTGTGCGGAGTGGGAACCTTTCTTTGTTCTGCTCCTGGAGAGGGGCTGCCAATGGTAAGTTCCTCTCATCCTTTCTCTAGGGCACCATTATGTGGTGATTAAGCTTCACTATCCATAGGAGGGGGATCAGGCCTTCTCTCCCAACACTGTACATGTTGACAAGGTCAAGGGAAGGGTATGGGTGTCCAAGAAACAAAAACTTACTTCCAGAGTCCATCATTCTGTCATCTGGTTTCACTGCTCACATCATCACACAACTGTCTGCTCCTTAGGTCCTTGGGTTTCTTTGGGTCACAACCCCTCTGAAGGATCTAATTAAAGTTGTGGGCCCACTGTCTAGAAAAAAAAAAAAACCCAACACACTTTTCCATATATTTTTGTGTCCCTGAAGCCCATCCATGGGCCCTAAGTTAAGAACCTGTGATCTAGTCTACCTCTCAGCCTTCCATTGTACAGAAGAAGAAAAAGTCCCAAAGAGAGGAGAGGACTTGCTCAAGGTCACCTGGTGAATTTATACGAGGATTGATACGTGATTGATACTACTAGACGCAATCCCCCAAGTCTCTGTTCAGGGTGGCATTGGGGCACAGTAAAAATTTGTGTGTGAAAGATGGATGCTGTGCATGTCATGCATAATCCGGACAAGGTGACACTGTGACAGGCTCTCATGTTGCCCTATATTTTTCCTTCATGGCACTTCTCAGTTTGTAACTGTATATTTAAGTATATTTATTTGAGTGATTGTCTTTTTCGATACACTAAGCTCCTGAGGGCTCCTTGAATACCCAGACTAGGTTTTTTTCCCCCTCCCCATCCTATCCTGGGGCCTGGCACATAATAGGCATTCCATAATTGTATGAATAACTGTAAGATTTGGATAAGTGGACATGGTGAGTGTATGTATATAACTGGGTTAGGTATGGAGACAGTCTATATTTTAGGGTAGATCCAAGCTTAAGGGAAATTGAAGTCTGAAGCTGAGAATTTCTAGGAAATGAGAAGTACCCCAGAATTTCTAGGAAATCAGAAAAAAACAGGAGGTTGGCATTCTGATCATTTTTTTCTGGCCACTGGTTGGATTCTGAATGTTGTTAGCTGCCCCATCTCAAAACACTCTTCTTTATTGCCTTCCAGTATTTCATACTCTCCTGGTTTTCCTTTTACCTTTCTGGCCATCCCTTCTCATCCCTCCCTTGATGATTCATCCTTCTCAACTGGAATATTAAACATTGGGCCCCACAGCTGAGACCTGAGCCTCTTTTCCATATCACATCCAATCCCATGGCTTTAAACACTATCTGTATGCAGGCGACTCCTAAGTTTTTATCCCCAGAATTCTCCTCTGAGTTCCAAGACCCATATATCCAATTGCCTGTTTGATGTATCCATGTGGATCTGTAATGGTCATACTTAACATGTTCAAAATGGAGCTTTGATTCATGCCTTCCCAGTCCTCGCCATCTCAATAAACCAACTACCTAGTTGCTCAGGTCAAAATGTAAGAGTCTTCCTTTCTTCCTCTCACTCACTCTTCCTCTACTCCCCTTTAATTCATCACCAATCCTGGGGAATTCCCTGGGGGTGGGGGTCCAGTGGTTAGGACTCGGTGCTTTCACTGCCCAGGGCCAGGTTCAATCCCTGGATCCCTGGTTGGGGAACTAAGATCCTGCAAGCTGTGTGGTGGGGCTGGAAAAAAAAAAAAATCACTAATTCCGCCATCAAAGGTGCACCATCTCTCTCCATTGCTGTTCCTAGTCTAAGCCACTATCATTGCTTAACTAGATTATTACTTATTCATCCATCTGAAGAAGACCCTTCCTTGCTGTGGTTACTCTTCATCATATCACTAGATTTCCTTCCTTCATAGCACTTATCACAAACTGAGTTCCTGTGTGTGTACTGAATTTGTTACTGTTTCCACAAGCAGAATGTAAGCTCTGTGAGAGCAGGACCCTATCTTGTTCATTCCTCAAATGTTTATCGTAGGCCTACTAGGCTCTGATTCCTGTTGTAGGTGCTGGGCGGGTGGAGGTGTGGTACAGAGTGAAAGTGTGTGGCAAGAATTGCCCTTCAAGTTTGAGAAGTACAGATACGGAAGGTGCATCTTGCCTGGGTCATAGACCCTAGAGTGTTGGCTATGGAGAGTAGATGAAATTGTGGCTGATGACTTGCTAGAAGTTGCCACAGTGTAAAGTGTGAAGCAGAGAGGAGAGTGTCATGAGACTGAGGGCTGGGGTCAGCTGGAATGACAGCTCCCAAATCCCCCAAAGGACCACAATATCCAGTGAAGCTGCTATGGCCCCCAACTGTCATCACAGGAGGTCCTCTAAGAAAATACTTGCTCCTAACCCCCATCTTAACACTCCATGATTAAAAAGAAGAGGGACTATAAGAGTCCATGGAGCTACAAGTTGGGCTACCGCTGGAGGAGTCTAATATGAGATTCAAGTGGAAGATGGACAATGCTAAGTCTTAATAATCAGAATGAGACTGAGAGGCTTATTTCACATTTATACCTCACATGTAGCCACAGATCTCTCAGCCAACAAGTGCCTTATGACAGAACCAAAGGGAGCCCTGAGAACATATAGCAAGGGGACCCAAGCCCATCTAGGGCCCAGGGAAGGCTTCCACAAGGAAATGATGTTTATGCTGAAGCCCAAGGGGTCCCACTTCTCCTTTACACACACTTCATACTCCCCATTCCCAAACAGGCCAGGCCTTTTCGCCCCTTCCTACATTTGTACTCTACTTGCCTAAAGTGCTCTCTTCTCTTCCCCCCTATTCAACCTGGCTAACTCCTATTTAACCTTTATGACCCAGCCCGAAAGTGAAGCCATGGCCGCTGCCTCTCCCCAAAGGAAGATGAAGTCGGTCCCTCCTCTGAACTCCCACAACACTTGGGTACACCGTGTGGGTATTATGTGTGTACTCGCTAGTCTGCACCACCATGCTGTGAGCTCATAGTGGCCCAAGAGGCCAGTACGGGGCAAGCTCAATAGGTGTCAGCTGAATGAAGGAATGTAGGAATGATTTAATTTTTAAAAGGGGTTAGCACCAAGCTGGAGGTAGGGGGAAATGTTTCACGGCAGAGGAGTGAGCTGAGCTTCTTGGAGTGTTGTCTTCATAGAACCGAGCCTGGGTCGGGCTGATGTAATGAACCGACCTGTCAGAAGAATCTCAGTAGAAAGTAGGTCAGTTTCTTCCTGTCTCTTTAAGAACTAGAAGCTTGATTTCCGCGCCTGCGCATTGAGAGAGTAAACACCTCTCTTTTTCACCCACCCCCGCCCTATCCACATCCTTATTGCCCCAACCCAGCCTCCTCCCGTTCTCCCCTTCTTCGGGTGGGGTAATGGTCCGTTCCAGGGAGTCTGGCTCGTTCTGGAGGGTGGCGAGCATACAAATGGTACATTTCACTGCCTACATTACCTTCCGCTTTTCGCGGCTTGTCTGTTCTACTTCCCCCTACCGAATGAAGCTCAATAGGCTGGCCCAAAAGAAGGCGGGGGAGTCGGGTTGAGGGGACCGGTCTGAGCCGGTCTCCGGCGCAGGCGCACTGCGGATAAACAGGAAGCGGGAGGTAGGGGCAGCTGCAGAGGAGATCCAGGAGCTTCGGGAGGAGGCAGCGGGAGTACGAGGATTATCGGAAGGGCAGCAGAAGCTAACTGAGAACGAGAAAAGGAGCCTTGGCCATCTGCCTCCAGGGAACGAGAGGTCGCAGCCTCGCTCTCTGCTTAGGCTTCCGGCTCCCCAGCTAAGGCTGAGGCTGCGGCTGACAAAGGGCTCGCGCTGGTGCCGCCGCCCTTCTCATCCGGGCATTAGGGTCCCTGCGGAGAGGGAGGGGGAAGGGCAGAGGGGGAGGGGAAAGAGCGGAGGGGCGCGCGCTTAAAGCCGAGGCCCTTTCTGGGGCTCTCCGGGCCGGCGGCCCTACGGACGGAGGCCGAGGAAGATCTGCAGAGGTGGCGGCGGCCGGGGGCAGGAGGATGGTGCAGAAGGAGAGCCAGGCGGCGCTGGAGGAGCGGGAGAGCGAGCTCAACTCCAACCCTGCCGCCTCCGCGGGCGCATCGTTGGAGCCGCAGGCAGCTCCAGCCCCTGGAGAAGACAACCCAGCCGGGGCCGGGGGAGCAGCGGTGGCCGGGGCGGCAGGAGGGGCTCGGAGGTTCCTCTGTGGCGTGGTGGAAGGTGAGCGTTGTGGCGCGGGCTGGGCAAGAGCGTCCTCACTCCCTCTCCACCCCAGTAGTAATACGTTCTTTCCTTTTTGCGGGGGCAGGGGGCTCTAAAAGGGGGTTATTCCCTTGGGTCTGAAATTTGACCCTGCTGAAATGAGGGAAGAGGCGAGAGGATGGGCAGGTCTTTTTTCGCGTTCTGAAACGGCGTCGAATTCCCTCCTGGCTATTAAGAAGCCTGACCCCACCCGCCTCGGGCTTGGAGCCAGGCATGCTCCAATGGAAGCGGTGTAAGGAGCCTAGTCTTAGGCTCTGAGTTTTACGTCTTTGTACCTTGGTATGTTGTTCTCTAGGGTGGTTTGTGTTCAAATGGAGAGAGGTGTGTAGTTTTGTTGTCCCCACCCTTTAGAAAAAAGACTACCCGTACAGGTGTGCTAGTTGTATTCCTGGAGTGAAGAGAAGCACTGTCGTCTTACAGTTTTACAAATTCCTTTTTGCTTAGAATTTTTGTTTGTTCTTGTGTTTTTTTGTTTGTACTTGTGTTTTTGTTTGTTTTTTTGCTGGCCAGTCCCGAACCCCCCACCCTTTGAAGATTGATTTGCAGCCTAGAAAATTGCCCTTTGCCAACCACTCTGCCTTGTCTCTGAGGGATGAAGCTTTGACTTTAATAGTATCTGAGATACGGAATTTTAGTGACTGCAGAAGAGGTGTAAAAGTTCCCTTCTCACTTCCCATTTCCATTTAAAAGGAATGATGGACTTTTTTGGTGGTTGGGGAAAATGACCAGAAGATTGTATCACAGTTCATGAATGTAATGAACAAATGTTCGGCTGTGCATTCTAAGCTAAGCATGAATCAGTTTCATTATTGCTCTTTCCTGGAGTACAGCATGTATTTGAACTTTCTGAAGTATTTTGGCTGACCCAGGGTTTCTTAGCTGTATACTTTATTAGTTCTCCCCTATATGTGGTGTGCATAGGAGTAACACTGTAGAAAATACTGGTCTTTATGGAAAAAACAGAAAGATGTGGAAAAGGAAAGAAGGATTTTCCTCTTGGTTGAGAGCTTTGGTACTCACGGAGTATTCATTTGAAAGATGGGTGGTGGTTATGCTATATTAGATAAAGTTTGATTGTAGGAGAGAACAGACTAATTGGCAGCTACCATAAGGAATGAAACGATTCAGCAAAGTTAACTGTCTTGCAGAATTTTCGGGAAAACAGAATGGAAAACTGCCTGTGTATTTGACTGGAGTCAGTGTTTATGAAAACATGATTGCTTTGTTTGATTTATCCATTGATGTATATATAGAGCTAGAATCTGTGCTTTGTTATGTAAGATCTTGGGGTGGAGGGTGGGAAAGGAGTGCTGGGGGATTAGAAATTTTAGAGCTAGACTAAAGTGAATCTAAGGAAACTTGCCTGTCCATTACACCTTCAGTAATTATGGAGAAAAGTTAGTTGTGGTTTAGATCAGTTGGTTTGTTTTTCAGAATAGTATTAAAAGGGAACTAGTTTACTTAGAATTATCTTATCTGTCATTTTTTCTCCTTCCAATTCCCTAGTATGTTTTCTTGGTGACTGAGCACCTGATATTTTTTTGGTGTTTGTTTTGCTTTTCTTTCCCTCAAAAACCTTTGTTGATTTTATTTATTTATTTATTTATTATTTTTGAGGTTAATTTGTGCTTTTATTTGCCAGTATAATTTAACTACAGTGGCCTGCAAACTTTTTTGATCTAAAAAGTACATTTTACATCACAATCCAACAAACGCACACACATATATAATATGTATACATATATAAAAGTGAAACAAAAGTTTTGCTAAAAACATCTACCCTGAGTGTTAATTCTTTTTTTTTTTTAAGACTTTTTTTTAAACCAAGTATGAACTGCACTGACACATCATAATCACCAAAGCCCCCAGTTCATTTTAGGTTCAGTTTAATGAAGTGAATAGTGTTGCACGTTCTATGGACAGACCTTTGTTGATTTTAACTCATGTGTAACAGCACTGCTTCCTCTTTGTGGTGCCAATTAACTAAAACCATGAACCTTACTCTGAAAGAGCAAAGTTAGGATTCCTGAAGATTAAAGTGTTAGTCACTTGAAAAAACAAATTTTTTTTCATGTTGAAGCAGCTCTAAAGGAAAGTTTAATGCCTACTACTTAAGAGAAAAATGATAATGCAGGGTGTTGTAGGAAAGCTATAAAGACTTGTGAAATTTACCTAATACTTTAAATCACCTGTAAGAGAGTAACCATTGAATTGTCCAGATTGAAAGTGCCACAGTTTCATGTATTAGTATGTAACGAATTTTTCTTTGGCCTGTCATTGTCTTTGTGGTGCAGAGTAACCATTCTATCTAGAGTGGAGCTTATTACTGTTCAGAAATTTTGGTTTTTGAGTTAGTTTCTTAAACTCTGTGTGTGTGTGTGTATGTAAGGAACATTATGTGTTCAAAACACAATTTGAACCATTTTTATGATACTCCTGGGAGGTTGTCCTTATCTCTTGCAGATGATTAGACTGAGGCAGGTGGAAAATAAAGGTTAGGCAAGCTGTAAGGTGTGATTAGCACAAGCCACAGCTCAAAATACCAGTTTGGTGCTTATACCACTACTTAAGTCATCATTCTGCAGTTCTGTTTCTTGCAGTGTGCATTACTATTGCTTTGCCCCCATCTAGGATACTCTGGAGTGAGTCACGTTCTTGAATTTTCAGTTGTTCATATACATTTGCTCTGGAATTGAGATTGCTTGAGAGTTTCCTGTTTGGGCCAGTTCCAATGTTGAATTTGTTGAGTGTAGTTTAAGGCATTTTTTGGGTCCCTTTTATAATTTTGGGAACCAAAAAAAAAAAAAGCCATCATAAAATTAGATGAATCAGATTCTTTTCTAATTCTGTCCCTGTTTTTTTCCCTACCTTACTTGTTTTCACCCCTTCCCCCTCTAAAAGTGGTTTAACTCCCCTTCTAGGTAGTAATTGTTATTATTAGCAGTTTGTGGTTACTTTGCTTCCCCTTTCCCCACTGTAAGATTGAGATAATCTTTTTAAAAGTTAGATTTAAATATATTTAGTCTTTTTTGGCAGTGAAAAGAGATGATGTTTAGTTATTTTTAGATGACTTTATCACATAAATAATGTGTTCATGGTAGAAAAATCAGAAAATTTACCTAAGCAAAAAGGGAATTAAAATCACTGTAAAATATCACCCCAAAATACCTTAATGTTTTACTAAACATCCTTCAGCTCTTTGTATATTGTACATATTTTTTACAAAGTGGTATTGTATGTATTGTAACCTGCTTTTCTCAGTAGATAGTTTATCACATTCTTATAATTTCATTCTTACTTTGGATCTAGGATTTTATGGAAGACCATGGGTTATGGAGCAGAGAAAAGAACTCTTTAGAAGGTAATTTTTTTATTATGTGACGGAGAGTCTTAATTAACATTTCCTTTTTTTTTTTTTTTTTTTAACATTTCCTTTTGTTTGAGGAAATACACTGAATAGGCCAGGTGCAGTTTGATGATTTCTCAGTTGCAGAAGTTACTTTACCTTGGTCTTTTTCCTCTTCTTCACCTAAGGCGGTGGTTCTCAAACTTTCCTGGGAAAGCTGGATAGGTTTTGGGCTCATCTGTCTTACTCAGAACTGTTGTATTTTTATTTAAGACTGTTTATAATATGTTGACATTCCTTATAATATTTAATTTTTTACAACTCCACTGGATTACAAAAAAGTTAAAAGCTACTGCCCCAGAATATTAGCTTTTTAAGAGACGGAGCTGCTCCAAGAAAAGGAAAAAAAGTGAGATTTACAGGTTATACATGTTGCCTGTTTATATACATGTAATTTTTTCTCCTCTTAAGGCTCCAGAAATGGGAATTAAATACATATCTGTATGCTCCAAAAGATGACTACAAACATAGGATGTTTTGGCGAGAGATGTATTCAGTGGAGGAAGCTGGTAATCTTTTTCTTTTTAATCCATAAATTCTGAGTACATGAAGAAAACAGCTAAATTTTAAATGTAGTTGTACAAGAATTAAGTATTCCACTTTCACTTTGTAGGTAGTTTTCTTTTATATGGTTACTCTGTGTGTTAGTGCATATTGAAAGAGTAACTCTAACAATGTGTAGCCATGGTGTGATTTACAGGTATGCCAGTCTGACTTCACCTGTTCTGTGGTCATAAATTGTGCTTTTTAACTTCTGCCAGTGGACTAAACAGTGGGCCATTAGACAAAGAGGTGCTGAAGCAGGGCTAGGCCTAGGGCAAGGCAAGTGAGGGGCCTGCCGGCAGTGCAAATTTTAAAGGACTCCAAAAATCAGTAATCAAGTTAAATAATACTTTATTATCCATTTTTTAAACCAGAACTAATGCAAAAAATCCACGAACAAAATACCAAAATTTTAAATAAAGATAGGGTTAGTACTACTGATCCTTTTGCTTCAGGCTCAAGTATGGCTTGGTCTTGACCACTTGATTTCTGTTACTGGTCCTGTCTTTATTTAAAATGAAGAAGGGCCTCACCTTAGTCTGGGCCTATACTGAAGTGAAAAGCCATCCTGAACTATCCTTGTTACATGTGTTCTTATGTCGAGTTAGTTACATAAAGTTCATAAATAAGAGAAGTAAATTAGACAAGTGGTGCTTTTCTTTGGGGACTTGAGTGAATGGGGGAACATTTTCATACCTTGAATTAAATGGTAGCTAACAAGATATCTGGTTACAGAGCCCAGTCAAGGCACTGAAGGCAGAAAGTTTTCTTAAAATATGAAGAGCAATTAAAACTCGATCTAGTGTTGTTGTTTACTACTCTATATAACTTAAGTGTCTTCAACTTGATTATTTTCTGGTGATGCTGGTAATGAAATTTAATATCAAAATATAGTCAAATGACTATTTTGAGATACCACTGAAAGTTATTTAAAGATATATCCTGTGGTATGGAATAGTCAATTTACTTAGGAATTATGGAATTATGACATTATGGAATGTCAATTTACTTAGGAAAATTGTCTTTCACATTTTAGAGACTTAAAACTGTGATGAATATTTTTCTTGTAGTTACAAAGATGTCAAGATTGTTAAGGCCATCACTTAACCCGGGTTCTTAAGAACACATTTTTTCTTTTTTTCCAAATTATAAAGTTGCCATATGTAGATGTATTTATTTAGGAATTCCAGTTGTACAGAGACAGCAAAAACAAAAGCATACCTCTGAAATACTATAGGAAATAAAAATGTTTTGTATTCAGTAAGAGAATTGATGCTTAATTCAGTATTTTTGAGAAATGGCAATGCTTTTATTGAGTTCAGGGTGACGTTAAATCTCATCAGGTTTGTGCCATTACGTATTGTCACATTGGACCTGACAATTTTGTAGAATTTAAGGGACTTTTTTTTTTCCTTGACTCATTGAAAATTGGAGAAAATAACCTTCAGTTTGAAGGTGAAGCCTCTTTTAGTTTTTGTGGTGCTTTCTTAAATCATGGACTCTATTCTTTAGAGCAACTTATGACTCTCATCTCTGCTGCACGGGAATATGAGATAGAGTTCATCTATGCTATCTCACCTGGATTGGATATTACCTTTTCTAACCCCAAGGAAGTATCTACATTGAAACGCAAACTGGACCAGGTAATTTCCTTACTTTTTCATTATTTTTCCCTGAATCAGTACATGAAACTAAAAGTTTTCTGAGTTGCTTTTATGATGTAAAAAGGAAACCAAATTCATAGTACTTCTTTGTTTCCGTACAAATTTTTTTACTTTAACTTTTTTGATAAGAGGAATATTTTCTAAAGTGAGTCAAAAGAGCTTTACTGGAGGTACCATTGCGTCTCAAACTTAAGTTTGCATAAGAACTGCCTTAAAACAGTGCTTAGAAGTGATGCTTAAAAGGGTTCTTATGGGCTCCATTCCCAGAGATTCTTAATATAGACTTGAGGTGGAGACTTACCTCAGATTCCAGGAAATTCTGAGTGGTCCAGAGTCACATTTCCAGAAACTCTGTTGGGTGCCTGACTGAATTTCTGAGTGAGGTTATAGAAATAGGGGTTCACTCAGTTATATGGACAAGAGATGTAATTCAGTTTGGACATGGTTGGCTAGTTTCCCAAAATGAGAAGAAAAACTAGGTAAACGTGTAAGCTGTTGGTGAACCTGATTGGAGTCTAAATTCTACTTAACATAAAAGCTGCACATGTTTTTTGGTAAAGTAAGTGTGCTGATTTTTAAAATATATATATGTTTCTTTTTTCTTTTTTTTTGGCCATGTGGTATGCGGGATCTTAGTTCCGTACCAGGGATCGAACCCACACCCCCTGCATTGGAAGTGCGGAGTCTTCACCACTGGACCGCTAGGGATGTCCCCTATATATGTTTCTTTAAGCAAAAGTTTATATTGGATTTCCCTGGCGGTCCAATGGTGACAACTCTGTGCTTCCAATGCACGGGGTGCAGGTTCGATCCCTGGTCAGGGAACTAAGAAATTCCGCATGCCACGCAGTGTGGCCTTTAAAAATATATATATATATATATATATATATATATATATATATATATATATAATTGGTGGCATTAAAATGGCTGGTAAAAAATTTAAAGTAGTTTGGGAGGTTCCTGGCGGTCCAGGGATTAGGACTTGGTGCTTTCATTGCTGGGGCCAGGTTCAGTCTCTTTTCGGGGAACTAAGATCCCACAAGCCGTGTGGTACGGCCAAAAAAAAAAAAAATTTAAAGTAGTTAAATTTCTGTGAATAAGCTTTTAAAAGGTTATTTACCTATTTGATCATATTGTACTATGTTGGTCTTTCTGATTGATGGCCTAGATTTATGTGCAAATGTGCAAAGAAATTAATTAGCATCAGTGTATCTTGATTAGAACAGGTGACTTGGGTTTGTCATGTCTTAGAGTTTATTTATTGTTCACGGGTTTTTTTTTTTTTTCTGTTTGGTTTTCTATAGTTGGCAGTGAAGGAGGTAGAAGGATAAGCTGCATTATAGAAGCTTTGTTAGACATACTGGCATATTGCATTCAAACCCAAATGAAAAAATGGGTCCCAAAACTGTCTAGCTGTTTAACATAGAAAATATAAAGGCAGTGGCTTGGCATTGAACATTCTACTAAGGAAAATATTTGACTTTTAAGTATAACTATTAAGTATATACTTTAATATTTGAAATCCTGTGTTTTTTACTCTGTAAGATGAGCTGGTAAAGCATCTTATTTTTTTTTTTTTCTTTTCCTAGGTTTCTCAGTTTGGATGCAGGTCATTTGCCTTGCTTTTTGATGATATTGACCATAATATGTGTGCAGCTGACAAAGAGGTATTCAGTTCTTTTGCCCATGCCCAGGTCTCCATCACAAATGAAATTTATCAGTACCTAGGAGAGCCAGAAACTTTCCTCTTCTGTCCCACAGGTATTGTATATAATAGCTTTATATTTAACTAGTCTTCTTGAAATATATAACTTTCAAAAGACCATGTATGGGCTTTATTGTGTTGTCCCCTCTCCCTTTGGTATATAAAGGTAGGAATTCTTTTTCTAGAAGATATTTCTGCACATCTTAATTTGGAGAGATTTTAGGAATTAATAAATGACAACTGAATAGGCAAAAGATTTTATGTTTTTTTTTGGTACTAGAAGTATATGAACATTACATGTTCAGGATTAGAGGAGGGGATAGTATTATAAAAATGAAAGCTAGAAAAAATCAAAATTACATTGCTTTTAACTTAGTCACTTCTCATATCCTCCTACTTGTTCCTTTTTTCTGCCCTTGCATATCTGTATCCCTTTTCATTCCTCCCACTCCCATCTGGGCTCTTAACTTCCAGTAGTCAGCATAGAAAGCTTAATAATTTTTTCTCCCTTTTTCTTTTTTTCCCCCTCTCATCTCTCCCTGGTTCCTTCCATTGAAAATGTTTTTTCTCTTTTTTTGCCTCTCAAAATTCAGCCTATAAGAAAACTTCCCTAGTTTTGACTTCTTGTTCAGGAAGAGTTAAAAAAGTTCTAAGAAATTTTAGACTGATTTATTTAACTGTGTATATGTCTGTCTTAAGAGTATTGTGAGCCATGAACCTTATCTCAGTGGTCTGATACTATGTGAATACTCAGTGTTTAATAAGATCATACTTGGTAATTACTTAATTCACTGCAAATTATAATCAATTGTAGTTGAGTACTAATAGCCAGGAGCCTAATATTGCATTCTTTCTATTATGATATTATGAATCCAGTCTATTTGGCCTCTTATTGTAACTGAGAAATGTAGGCAATTCAGAATTATGTAGAAAATGCTAAAAATTCTAATTATTTCTTTAGTAAACTTGTATTTCTGGTGACCATAGGACCATAAGGATTGATCTGTCCTAATACTAGAGGAAGAATATCAGATTTTATGATTTGATTCTTTTTTTTTTTTTAAGTTGAGTCATAAATGAACTACCCACTTGAGTTTACTTCTTTTGGGACGTAACATGGAGGCCTTTTATCATTTGGATGAAAATAATTTAGAATTGGTAGACATTTTTATCCCTATTCAAAAACTCATGACCATTTCACTCCTGACTGTTTTACTGATTAATTTTTCCCCCTACATTCAGAATATTGTGGCACTTTCTGTTATCCAAATGTGTCTCAGTCTCCTTACTTAAGGACTGTGGGTGAAAAGCTCCTACCTGGAATTGAGGTGCTGTGGACAGGTAAGTCTTAAAAGATTTAGACAGTAAAACTTTTAATTAACTAGGACCTTGGGAGTTGGTTGTTCTGGTTAATTGGATACTTTTATTTATTTTTAAAGTTTATTTTTATTTTTTATTTTTGGCTATGTTGGGTCTTGGTTGCTGCACGCGGGCTTTCTCTAATTGCGGCAAGGGGGGGGGCTGCACTTTGTTGCAGTGTGCGGGCTTCTCACGGTGGTTTCTGTTGTTGCGGAGCACAGGCTCTAGGTGCGTGGGCTTCAGTAGTTGTGGCTCTCGGGCTCTAGAGCGCAGGCTCAGTAGTTGTGGCGCATGGGCTTAGTTGCTCTGCGGCATGTGGGATCTTCCCGGATCAGGGCTCAAACCTGCTTTGTCAGGTGAATTCTCAACCACTGCGCCACCAGGGAAGCCCCTAATTGGATACTTTTAAAAAGCTGAGCCTTGGGCTTCCCTGGTGGCGCAGTGGTTGAGAGTCCGCCTGCCGATGCAGGGGACACGGGTTCGTGCCCCAGTCCGGGAAGATCCCACATGCCCCGGAGCGGCTGGGCCCGTGAGCCATGGCCGCTGAGCCTGCTCATCCGGAGCCTGTGCTCCGCAACAGGAGAGGCCACAACAGTGAGAGGCCCACGTACCGCAAAAAAAAAAAAAAAAAAGACTCTCATACATGGTTCTTCAAAATATACTGCATATAATTATTTTCCTTTGTTATATTTCATAACAATTTTTCTTTTTAAAATAACACAGCAATATGTCCTTTTACTCAGCTTTATTCCCCTTGCCCTACATTTCCTCAGGTCAGATTCTCAGAAATAGAATTAGTGGTTAAAAGGTAGGAATATTTAAGGTTTGGGTAACTTTCTGCAAAGTGATACATCAGTAAGAAAGAAATTTCCATGTTAACCATTTTTTACCATTATAATATATCCTCAATTAGACAAAGTCTAATTAACCTAAACCCTGGGAGGATTTCTGCCCTTAATTCTTAGAATGAAAGCTAATACAGCTCATCGATTACTAACTGTCAATCCAGCATTACAGCTTTCATTTTATAAAATACAGCATTCTCCTAGTGCTGAGACCAATACCTGTTAGCCCAGATCCCTACAGATCTATTGTTTACCAGTAACTGATACTCAGACTCACTGAAAAATCCTCAAAGATTTTTTTTTTAACATCTGTATTGGAGTATAATTGCTTTACAATGGTGTGTTAGTTTCTGCTTTATAAAACCTCAAAGATATTTTTAATACTAAGTGAAGAATGTGTACTTTGTAAAAGAAAGAGAATTAAAACAAAATGTTCTGGTTAAGACTCAGCTTTTTTTGTTGTTGTTTTTGTTTAAAAGATTAAAAAATCTTTTTGTTGTTGTTTTTGTTTTAAAAAAATTTCCTCTGAGGATTTATTTATTTATTTAATTTATTAATTTATTAAAACATCTTTATTGGAGTATAATTGTTTTACAATGGTGTGTTAGTTTCTGCTTTATAACAAAGTGAATCAGCTATATGTATACATATATCCCCATATCTCTTCCCTCTCCCTCCCTCCCACCCTCCCTACCCACCCCTCTAGGTGGTCACAAAGCACCGAGGTGATCTCCCCTGTGCTATGCGGCTGCTTCCCGCTAGCTATCTATTTTACGTTTGGTAGTGTATATATGTCCATGCCACTGTCTTGTGTGAGAGTCTTTTAATAAATGGTGGTCATTATTTCTAGGTCCCAAAGTTGTTTCTAAAGAAATTCCAGTAGAGTCCATTGAAGAGGTTTCTAAGATTATTAAGAGAGCTCCAGTAATCTGGGATAACATTCATGCTAATGATTATGATCAGAAGAGACTATTTCTGGGCCCATACAAAGGAAGATCTACAGAACTGATCCCGCGGTTAAAAGGAGTCTTGACTAATCCAAATTGTGAATTTGAAGCCAACTATGTTGCTATCCATACCCTTGCCACCTGGTACAAGTCAAACATGAATGGAGTGAGGAAAGATGTAGTGATGAGTAAGTAGATGACTTAATTCTTGACTTTGGGAGGAGAGTTGGGATTAAGTAGAACCATTGGCAAGTATGCATTCTTTTGTCATCAAGATTTAAGAGGATTTTTTTAAGGTGTTGTTTAGTCCTGTGAATGAGTTGTATATGATAGAAAAAGGGCTGCTTGGACTGCCTTTGCGCAAGTTACTTAATAACTTCTTGGCCTCAGTTCTTTGTTTTTAAAATGTGTCTTAGCCTTTCAAGTCTGAGTAACTAGACAAGGTAGTCTTTTAGTGTTCCTGTTATCCCTTGAATAATTCTGATTGAATTTGTGTTTTCAGGTGATTTTATTAAATGGTGTATTTTAGATGGCTAAATATTCTCTGAGTTACTTAATATATAATTTAAGTTCAGCTTACATTTATGAGATATTTTCTCATTTTAGACATTGGCTTACTGATTTTTATTTATGAAAAATTCCTAATTGAGTTCCAAGTAGGAGAATGCTGACTAGTTGTTTATTCACTAACATTTAAACACCTATTTATCAGACACTAAGGGTGCAAAGACTAAAATAGTCCCTACTTTGAAAGAATTTAGTCTGGTGTTAGATAAAGCAGATAGGCAACTGTACTATAGAATGATAAGTGCTGAGATAATTATCTGCAGAGTGCTAGGGGGAACACAGGAGGCAGTGATAACTTCTGCTAAGCGAAAGTGCTGGTAAATGATTTCATAGAGGAGGAGTTACTTACACTGGGTCGAAGTATGAGTAAAGTCTGCAGGGCATTAAAGGGTTGGTGGGCTAGAGATGAAAATACTAGACTCTGAAAATTTCAAGTTACGTGAATTTTGGCCCATTGGGGGGTATTGAAATGTCACATTATGGTGCTTAGTGGTATGTAGTTGAAAGTTGTGTTCTGTTTCTCAGTTCTGTACCCCTACTTCCAGTTCTGTTTATTGAATTAATGCTTCCCTTCAAGACTCAGTCATTGTCACCCCCTCTCCCCAGTAAAAAACACAGAGTTAGGGATATAATCTCAATCCTCTCTGTATACATGGCTGTTAGTATCTACCTCTTTTAAGGCAGAGCATGAAGCATGTTAACGACTAGTGGACATTAGCCAGACTGGCCTGTGTGCAGGGAAATAAGAAGGAAAGCTAAGAATAGTGGGATTTGAATACCAAGCCAAAGAGAGTTCAGACTTAATTTTTTCTACCGCTATCCTGGTTCTTTTATATGCTTATTATCTGTGCTCATACGTGGGCTCTCTATCAATTTTCTCTTCTCCCCTCAATGCATTTATTAATGTGCCCATTATTTTTTCATAATTATTTGCCTTTTTAAGTTATAAACCCCTGAAGGGTAGGGAATCTTCTTTATGGGAAGTATAGTGCCTTTAACCTTGCATTCCCAATAATTGATAATAAGTGGACATTTATGACTGCCTTGTCCAGTGATTCTAAAGTTAATGTTTAATATTTCAATTGGAATTTTACATTTAGCAATGCATTTAGATGACTATTCTGGGTGAAGTGGTTCAGTGAAGGGTCTTGGTTGTGTTTGCATATTATGCTTAAGGTTTGTTCTTGTTCCAGTTCTTTGCTTCTCTGGGTTTACTGTAACAATTAGTGTTTTGTAATGAAAACTGTTTTTGTGCTCTTTCTCTCTTTTTTGCAGCTGATAGTGAAGACAGTACTGTGTCGATCCAGATAAAGTTAGAAAATGAAGGCAGTGATGAAGATATAGAAACTGATGTACTCTATAGTCCACAGATGGCTCTAAAGTTAGCTTTAACAGAATGGTTGCAGGAGTTTGGCGTACCTCATCAGTACAGCAGTGAGTTTGGCCTTTCTTTGTAAGGGGGTTGGATCACATTGTTTGCGACATAAAGTAAAGGACATTTGTAATGTGTCTTCTCATAGGCCTGCCAAGCAAAATGAAATTTAGGAATCTAGAGGATAAGGTTTTTTTAATTTTACTTTTGGTCTTAAATAGCTTTTATTTTGATGGAATGCTAATTTGTTTTTTAATATATATATATAAATTTATTTTATTTATTTATTTTTGGCTGTGTTGGGTTTCTGTTGCTGCGCGTGGGCTTCCTCTAGTTGTGGTGAGCGGGGGCTACTCTTCGTTGCAGTGCGCGGGCTTCTCATTGCGGTGGCTTCTCTTGTTGCGGAGCACGGGCTCTAGGCGCGTGGGCTTCAGTAGTTGTGGCACGCGGGCTCAGTAGTTGTGGCTCACGGGCTCTAGAGCGCAGGCTCAGTAGTTGTGGTGCACGGGCTTTAGCTGCTCCGCAGCATGTGGGATCTTCCCGGACCAGGGATCGGACCCGTGTCCCCTGCATTGGCAGGCGGATTCTCAACCACTGCGCCATTAGGGAAGCCTGCTAATTTGTTTTTAAAATATCTTTTTTTGAAGTAGTTTTTAAATACAGAGCTTCAAAAGAGAAGAAAGTAATAGGTGTTGGCATGTTTATGATCTGTGTTTCCCCTCCTCTCTTCCCTTCCCCACCTCCCAGTGGTTTAGAGAAATTGTACTTTCTTGGGGCTCAAATTATTTGGAATCTCAAATTGAGGCTCTTAGTTAGAGATATGGTAAGAAGAAAACATTTCTCTAGATCTAATTTGTTCTGTTTCTAATTCTGATTATCTCTGGCAATTTGTTTTTATAGGTAGGCAAGTTGCACACAGTGGGGCTAAAGCAAATGTAGTAGATGGGACTCCTCTAGTTGCAGCACCCTCTTTAAATGCCACAACTGTAGTTACAACCGTTTACCAGGAGCCCATTATGAGCCAGGGAGCAGCCTTGAGTGGTGAGCCTACAGCTCTGACCAAGGAAGAAGAAAAGAAACAGCCAGATGAGGAACCCATGGACATGGTAGTGGAAAAACAGGAAGAGACAGACCACAAGAATGACAATCAAATACTAACTGAAATTGTTGAAGCTAAAATGGCAGAGGAATTGAAACCAATGGACACTGATAAAGAGAGCATAGCTGAATCAAAATCTCCAGAGATGTCTATGCAGGAAGATTGCATTAGTGATATTGCCCCGATGCAGACTGATGAACAGACAAACAAGGAGCAGTTTGTGCCTGGTCCAAATGAGAAGCCTTTGTACACTGCAGAACCAGTAACTCTGGAGGATTTGCAGTTACTTGCTGACCTATTCTACCTTCCTTATGAGCATGGACCCAAAGGAGCGCAGATGTTACGGGAGTTCCAGTGGCTTCGAGCAAATAGCAGTGTTGTCAGTGTCAATTGTAAAGGAAAAGACTCTGAAAAAGTGAGTATGCTTAATTTACCTGTTTCTCTGGCCTGGATGGTCCCCATGCTGTTGATACAGGGGAGGTCTTAAATGAGAATTGACCACATCTTAGAATGTGTTCTGTAAAGTAGGTACGGACTCTGCTGAATCTGATATATACAGTTTCTTAGTTTGACCTTATAGTAGCTAAGAATGAAGGAAAGTCAAAATTGATTATATTAGGAATATTTGTCAGTTTGGGGAGACAAACTTTTATTGTTTGTCTTTAAAAGTTTAAGCCCATTGATTCTTTAATGTTTAGTATAAATTTGCAGGTACCTGATAACATAAACAGCTTAGTTTATAAACTGTGTTTTAGATTGTTGTTAAACTTTCAATTTTTTGAGTGTTTTTATTGATCCTCAATAGATTGAAGAATGGCGGTCGCGGGCAGCCAAGTTTGAAGAGATGTGCGGACTAGTGATGGGCATGTTCACTCGGCTCTCCAATTGTGCCAACAGGACAATCCTTTATGACATGTACTCCTATGTTTGGGATATCAAGAGTATAATGTCTATGGTGAAGTCTTTTGTACAGTGGTTAGGTAGGTATTCCAGGAGTAATCTCTTCTCCTCAGATACATTGTCCCTTAAAAAAAAAAAGACATTATCCCACAGGGAGAAAAACATATAGGGAGTTTAAATTCTTTGCCTAGATTTCAAAGGTGTACCCATTGTTACAGACTTGAGGTGCAAGCCTCAGTAAATATACCGAGCACGTTGATTTTTCTCCCTTGGGCTAATTCAGCATAAATATCTTGAAAATGTGTTAGAAAGTACTGACTTTAACTTGCTCTGACTGAATGCTTCCTGGATGGAACCATGTATACCACTTTTACCTGATTTGGAGATGAGACACTATGAATTGTGACTCTGTAAGCTCTCTGCTGCTTGCTGTGTCTTGATGACATCAATGCTGTGTTTAACAGAACAATTGCCGAAATGACCTAAGGGGGCCTGGAAAGAGGAAGCCATCCTCCCAGCCCTGTGCGCATGCGAGCTTTAGTGGTAGGCTATTCTGGTGCTACTTGGTATTATTTCACAGAGCTTTTTCTTTATGTCTCTACCAAGTAATTGGTTTTAGCAGGGGATAAAAATTGCAATGCCCTGAAAACTCTGCTTCATTAAATGGACTTCTCTTTGGAAAACAGTGATTTTTTTTTTTATTTTTTATTTTTTTTAATTTTCAAACTTGGTAAAAAGCACCAGCATGGCCAAGTTTCTCCAGGGATCTCATTTCATTTCCAGGTTTTCAATCCAGCTATAAGGAATATCTAATGGACTTATGCATAGCACACAGCAGGCAGCAAGGCTAACTGACATGTCATAGTTTTCATAGTAGTCACAAATACTATGATGGGTTACATACTCTTGGCTGTGAAATAGAAGTGTGAAACACGGTGAGCTTAGAGTAACTCAGGAGTAGTAGCAAAGAGATTTCTCACTTTCTGCATATATACTTTTGGACTCTTAAATATAAAAAGAAATTTTTCCTGTGATACAACTAATTAGCAGCTAAAAATAGAGTCTCTCATTGTTAATTTGAAAGTAGAGGGAATTCCCTGACTGTCCAGTGGTTAGGATTCCACGCTTCCATTGCAGGGGGCATGGGCTCGATCTCTAGTCCGGCACTACCCGCAAGCCATGAGGCACGGCCAAAAATAAAAAATGAATAAATGAATTGGGGAAAAAGAAAATAGAGAATTTTGGGTTCCTGTATATGTAGCACAACAGGTAAAAGAGAATTTTGACCTCCTCTTGTTAAAAGGCTCCAAGATACCTCTTTTCTATGATACACGTCTGCCCTTAGGCTTAGGAAAAACCTCTGTATTGATTGTTGGATGATGGCATTTGCCTTCCAGGCTTTTGGCCAAGAGGATAAAATTAACCCTTATAGGGATTGAAGTTCTTAAGTTTCGAACCTGTAATCCGGATTATTAAGTTTGAGAAAGTGTTGCTTAAAACATTTGATACTCAGCTTTTAATTCAAGAATTACTAAAGATTCTTGATTATATACAGTATTGCTGCTTTTTCCTCTCAGCCTTTACCTCTGTACTGTGCAGTTATGGGGGCAGCTTTCCCAGATTGTATATAGCTGTTGTACAGTCTCAAGGTCAGAGCATCTTAGAAGCTTTAAATAATCATCTAGGCATCCACATAGCTTTACAACAGCTCACGACAAAGAGAGTATTTTCATGGTTCTACAGTAATTTCAGGGAGTTACTGATTAGTACCCTTTCTTTTCCTCTAGTTTCCAGTCCAGCTGGCATTCAGTCCTTTAAAGAATGTGGCTATGCAGTACTTTTGATTACTAACGACTTCTATTATCTTCTTCCCCATTGTGTACAGATGGGAGAATCCTCAGCACAAGTTCTACTACTATTGGATGGACAGCGGCAGATGTTCACAGCGCGTCATGATTAATTAGTTTAACTTAAAAGGTTCTGTGAGGTAGCTCAGGTAGATTTAAGGGCAGTAGGCATGAACTGAAGTCACGTTTGCGCAGCGACTGAGGCATTAACCATGTTTTCATTTATACAGCTCTTCGTACATGCAGCTTTTTATTGTAATAGTTGGAAGTGCTAGTTATGTTGTAGTCTCAAAGTGGGGGGTAGGGGAAATTGGCTCATCTTAAAGTTTGAGACGTGTAGTTTTTTCCTGCAGTGTAAGTTTACACTGAGCTATGGAATGGGGCAGGTTCTCTTCATAGCCTAAATTTTGACCCCCTATTTCATATTTATTTTACAAATATTACATTATATATATATATTTTTAAGTACCCCTACCCCTGAAAAATGACAACCCTGGATATAATCTCTTAATGGGCCTGAATTGTCAACAAAAAAATTGGTTTGCTTTGGGACTGTCTGACTAGCACACTGTGTATTGTACTGATGAGACTGTTAACTTGAACAGGAGGTAGAATGCTGTCTTCAATTGGAAAAGAACTATATTGCGCTGCTTTATCTTGTCAGAAGACTAGGCAGGTGATTTTGATTTGGCCTCCAAATTATCTTTTAATTATCTTATTAGCTTCCTTTATTGCCTATGGAAGGCAATTATAATTTGCTTTTAATTATCTCTTATTATTAGCTTCCTTTATTGCCTGTGGAGTTGGTTAAGTGGTGACCTTAAATGCTGACTTTTGGGCCTCAAAGCTTGCCACTCCATGTGTGAGCTAAGTGCACTGCAAAGATGATAGTGGTTGATCAGAGGAGCCAGATACTGTCATACTTTCAAGGAAAGTATGTTTTAGCTGTGGACAAATTAGGAGCATCAATTGGCTCTCCTTAGTTCTCAGAATCTGTCAGACTGATACTGTTACTAGCCAAGTCTGAATTTGGATTGTCCTTGTCAGAAAAAAAAGAAAAAGTACTCATTGTGTTTCATTGTCAACTTACTGAATAATTTCTTTTACTTATTCTGCTGACCTTAGTTTTCTGACAAGATTAACCCCTTTTCCCCCCTTTTTCCCTTCCCTGTACCCTTCCTCAAAATGTAAAATGTGACTTCAGACAAGTTTAATTCCTTCATGGGCTGTGATAATAAAATGTCTCATCAATCTCACTTCACTTAACTTTAAAGTTACTGTAATTTTGCTACAGAGCAAGCAGCTGCCTTGATTTTTACAGCTGTACCTAGGGAATATATAAGTGTGACCCAGACAAACTTGACACTTTTTCCTTCCAATAATTTAAGAAAGGGTAGAACTCTTTCGCTAGAAGAATGATTATTCATTGATCAGAGGAAGGAACATCAGTATTGAAATTCCATTACAAATTAAAAAAAATTATTATCACAGCCTTGTCCTGAAACCCTGGATTATTGTTAGAGAGCTGTTTCCACAAAGTGTTTGTTAGTTTGTTGGACGTTTGAGACCCCAGGAAATCCCCTTTCTCGTAACGTTCTCCGCTTGGATCTGATCTCAACAGGGTGTCGTAGTCATTCTTCAGCACAGTTCTTAATTGGAGACCAAGAACCCTGGGCCTTTAGAGGTGGTCTAGCAGGAGAGTTCCAGGTATCAATATGAATTCACAACTGAATTGACGTTTTCTTTGTCTTATGAGAAACCTTATGTTGCGCATCAGATGGCTGGAAGGATTGGTCTGCCGAAGGCTTTCTAGTCCCAAATTCAATTAGTTACATAGCTGGATTTTAAATCAAATTTTCCTCCTCTTTCGCAGTAATTTCTGAAGGAGATGCTGCCAATTCCCCCCCGCGCCTGCGAAGCGCAGCGGCTCTAGGTATACACTTCACATTGTTTCTTTGCAGGTCGCACAGCATTTTAATCTGCGCCCGCAATGCACAATGCGCGCATGCTTGTCTGCCAGTGGAAACTCCATGAGCAAAAAGGATGAATGATTATGCAAATGAACAGTGAAAGGGCTTTTGGATATTTTCCCAATTATTTTATAAGTAATACTTGAAAGAACAGTCCAGGAATGAAAATTTGAACAAAATATGAAGTTTATTTGGTTTTGGAATTTGTTCATGGACTTTCAGGTGCTCTACTTTTCTCCCCCCAACAGGTGCTCTGCTGCGCACAGCAAACTGAAGCGCATTGCTTTGGGGATAAAGCGTCTCCTGGACAGATAACCCTCTTCAGACCAAACCTCTCCTCCTGACAGTCTGTTCTGCCATCTTTTAGTGAGAGATGGTCTATATAAGATTGGTTTAAAAGATAGATTTGTCATAATTGGAATAGAATTTTTTTTACTGTATATTTAAATCCCCAGTAGTATGTCACTAAAGCTATGTAACTCAGTTTGGGTAATTTCTATTCAGAAGCACTCCCCTCCCCCAGCAAAGAGGTGTTTTTATTAGTAAAGCATAGCACACCCCTCTTCTTTAGGTCTGCCTGCAGTAGCCAGTTAATGTTAAGTTGGTAATCTGCAGTGCACACTCATTAAAAGTAAATATCTTCCCAACACTGATCATCTCCCTTTTTTTTCTTCCCACAGCGTTTGCTGCCAATTGATGGGGCAAATGACCTCTTTTTTCAACCACCCCCACTGACTCCGACCTCCAAAGTTTATACTATCAGACCATACTTTCCTAAAGATGAGGTAATCATCTACCTGTCAACTTGGTGTATGGTTATGGTGAACACTTAATCCTTTCCTTTGAACTCCCTGGTTAAAAGAATCAGTTTTGTGTCTTAAAACTTTAGATGGAGAAAGTTTAACTAAAACATTGAACATGGGATGTTTAAAGAAGAGCTGAAGGAGTTTAGACTCAACATCTCATGTCAGTTCTTTAAAAAAAACAAAAAACAGATGAAATGTATTCACAGTTGGAATTACTGAACGATGTCTGAATGATCAGTTGTTCTCAGCTGATTCTCTCCTATATATTTTCTGCAGTTTTCAGTTGTGAAGTGCTTACAGGCTGCTTGATAATCAGCTATAGAAATAAAAAGCAAGCCTGCTTAAAGACAATAACATGTTTTAAACATTTGGGATGTATAGAAAACTGAGAGAGACTCAGCCTCATAGTTTGCTGGATTTTGAATCTACTACTTACTGTCTAAAACTATCCCCTGCAAAGCAATTCTCACTGTTTACTATAACCATGCTGTTTTCTACTAGCTTTACAAATATGACTCAATAAATCTCTATTTAACAAAGCAGAGGTGATATTTATGACAAGCCAAACGTTTTGTTACTCCCTCTTCTAGAAGTCCATTCTGACTTATGAGTCATATTGTTAAATTCTGTTGCCATTTTTCTTGATGTGTTGCTTAACTAGATTATATTTTCAGGCTTCCGTGTACAAGATTTGCAGAGAAATGTATGACGATGGAGTCGGTTTACCTTTTCAAAGTCAGCCTGACCTTATTGGAGACAAGTATGTGATGAAGTATTCTGATTTGTTGGATTTGGGAGTAGACATTTCATAGCCAGGTTTATCAGGTTGAGGGGAGGTGCTGACTGGAAATAGAGTTTTTTAGAAGTCCTACTTTAGTTGTAATAAAATCTGAGCATTAATATGTGTATATTTTCAGTTTGTATTTACATCGAATGTAGTTTCCACGCATTGTCATTCGAGTATATTGGGCCTTACATCACTGAATTCTAATGTTTTGTGTTAGTAACTTAACTCACTCTGGTCTCTTTTCTTGTGAGCAGGTTAGTAGGAGGGCTGCTTTCCCTCAGCCTGGATTACTGTTTTGTCCTAGAAGATGAAGATGGCATATGTGGTTATGCCCTGGGCACTGTAGATGTGACCCCCTTCATTAAAAAATGTAAAATTTCCTGGATTCCCTTCATGCAGGAGAAGTATACCAAACCAAATGGTGACAAAGAACTCTCTGAGGCTGAGGTAATACACAGATTTAGAATTATACAATGGTAGTTTTTTAGAAAATAAAATACTTATTAAAAAAGCAAGCAGATATATCTTAAAATCCCAGTGCTTACTAAATTTCTTACAGAGAAGAATTCTTAGGGCTTATTCTTATTAGCATGGTATTTTCCACTGTTCTCTACGGTTTTTGATTTGGAAGCGTTGTTGTAATACTTTCTCAAGTAAAAGCACAACATAGACAATTAAAGAACCTTCTTTCTCCCTCCCTTTCTGTTTTGAAGCACCAAACTTAAGGATGTTATGGTCTCTTCTTTGGGTACTCAGGGCAAGTTTAGGTAATTAAAAATCTCTCATTTGTGTGCTAATGAAGCTAACTTACTTTCTCAATAATGCATTTCTCATGGTAATTAAAAACTAATAGGAATGAACTTTAAAAATAGTTTCTTCTTGAGGATAATTTTTATTTTCAATGAATACTTTTAGAGAATATACTTGGACTCGTATTTGTGACATTGTCTCTATGTAATAGGAGGCTGGGTTGGAGTAGGCTCCCTTACTTGGGATTTCATCGACATGACTGCAGCATGCTAGTGATTGAGCTGTTGATGTGTTGTTTTTCCATATGTGACAGTTCTCAGCATAGGAACCTATGAAGAAAAACCAGTGTGTCTCTTATAAACTTTTTTGTAAAAATTGTGGTAAAGCATACATAACATAAAATTTACTGTTTTAACCATATTTTTTTAGTGTACAGTTCAGTAGTGTTAAATACATTCACGTTTTTGTGCAATACAAACTTTTAAAAAATTGTTTTATTTTGAATTATTTATTTTTTACTTAGAATAATTTTAGATGTACAGAAGTTACAAAGATAATACAGAGTTCCAGTATACCCTTCACCCATTTTCTACATTTGTCCTAAGTCTGAGAAACCAACTTTGGTACATTGCTATAAACTCCTCACCTTACTTACCAGTTTTTCCACTAATGTCCTTTATCTGTTCCAGGATCCAATCCAGTATACCACATTACATTTAAACAAACTTTTAAAAAAATAAAAACGCTTCAGCTAGAATTATAAGCTAATTAATTCTGCATGTGGTAATTTTATAATTACCAGAAGAGTTATTGAATATTGCTTTCCTTTTCCTGTTACTGAGTTCTGTAGTTGGGATATATGGATTCATAATGAGTAGCTACTGAAAGTCAAGAGATTCTTCCTAAATTTTACAGAAAATTATGTTGAGTTTCCATGAAGAGCAGGAAGTGTTGCCAGAAACTTTCCTTGCCAACTTCCCTTCTCTGATAAAGATGGATATTCACAAAAAAGTAACTGATCCAAGTGTAGCCAAAAGCATGATGGCTTGCCTCCTGTCTTCACTGAAGGCTAATGGTGAGTACATATTTGTAGAGTTGCTGGTATTTGGGTTATGTGGGGACAGGACTCTATTTTAGGATAAAAAGAAAGAAGTGAATTTACATTCCCTTCTCCACCATTTATGGTTTTGCTTCTGAATTATTAGTGCTGCAAGAATTGGATGTGTATTAATCATTGAAAAATACTGCTCTTTTACACTATGCATGCTTATTTTTGAGCCCCAATTAAATGAGAAGTGTACGTTTATTTTGCTAGGAAACTTATAAATGATAGTTGAAAATTAAACGAACCTCGGGAAGACTTCATTTAGGAATGCAGAGTTGCTGATGTTTTTTGAGTTTGTTACTTAAACCTTCAAAAATACTTTGCTGTACCTTAGTGGTATGAAAACTTTTTCTGTAAAGGGCCAGATATTGAGTATTCTAGGCTTTAAAAAGGCAACATACAGTGTTCCATTGCATGTTTTTTGTTTGTTTGTTTTGCGGTACGTGGGCCTCTCACTGTTGTGGCCTCTCCCGTTGCGGAGCACAGGCTCCGGACGCACAGGCTCAGTGGCCATGGCTCACGGGCCTAGCCGCTCCGCGGCATGTGGGATCTTCCCGGACCGGGGCACGAACCCGTGTCCCCTGCATCGGCAGGCAGACTCTCAACCACTGCGCCACCAGGGAAGCCTTGCATGTTCTTTTTTTAAACAACCTTTTAAAGTTGTAAAAAAAACAAAAACAACTTTTTAGCCTTTGGCAATACAAAAATGGGCAGCTTGTTGAGCACTAATTAGAGGGTTCTTGATGTGTGAGGATGCACTTTTGTTGCATCTTTATATCATTTAATTCAGTGGTGTCCCCTTTGTGGGATAATTTAAACAGCTCTGTTTGATGAAAGTATAATTCTCACTGTTGTGCTTGGAACTGAATCATGCAGGTGTATGAGGCATGTCTTTAACATATAAAACACATTCTGGTTGTATTGGCTTGCGACATAGGCTGGAATAGTCTCTGCCCTGTGGGTCCCTCAAAGATACTTTACATAAATATATTATAACATTCAACAGAGGTATCCTTTGCCTTGAGGTTTCTTACAACCTCTGTGCCAAAAGATTTTCTTTCTGGGGAAGAGTGTTACCATGCAAAAAAAAAATTTTTGAAGTATATTTGACAATTAAGAATTGTATATATTTAAGGTGTACAATTTGATGACTTGAAATACATTGTGAAATAATCACCGTATTAAAGCTAGTTAACATATCCATCACTTTAAGGTAGTTATCACTGCAGTATTGATGAATATAAATATTGACTTTTGATATAAATTTTAAAAAGTATGAAATTTAGAGGCTGGTATAGATAAGCCAGTACTATGATCTTTTTGAAATATATTAGAGATTAATTACAATTCATATTCATAATTCTACGAAATAAGTGACATTTATATTTTGATTTTTTTTTTTCCCCCCTAGGCTCTCGAGGGGCTTTCTGTGAAGTGAGACCTGATGATAAAAGAATTTTGGAATTTTACAGCAAGTTAGGCTGTTTTGAAATTGCAAAAATGGAAGGATTTCCAAAGGATGTGGTTATACTTGGTCGGAGCCTGTGACGTTTGTTGGCACTATGAACTGTTGGGAAGTCTCTTCACTTCACCTGGTGGGTGGTGGTTGGGGTCTTCATACAGCTCAGCCTCTGGAGCGGCAACAGATCGGCTAATTCAGATTGGAAACAAAGAGGACTATGTAAAACTCACTCATCATGCTTAGAGACTACTCGCTGGTTGGAAAAAGATAGTATTGCTGTAAATCCTGTATGAAAGATGTGGGCCTCCTTATTGGGTCTTGTGTTAGGTGCTGAGACCTCTTACGTGGGCTTATAGGGAGGGGGTCTTCAATAAATGTAGTCAGCACTGTTTTCTGCATCCAGTGTGGTTGCATTTCTTACCTAAGAGTAATCAAAATCATTTGTCATCCTCCTTGGCTTATTAAATGAAATGTACCTCATTCTTTGGGGACATGGCAAAGATGAGAAAGATTTGGTTTCAGAGGCTTCAGGGTGGAGAGTCTGAGTGGGATGGTTATGGCATAGTTTAAGCTGAATAAATGATTTCAATTTGGGCGGTTTTTCTGCTTTTTGTAAAGCCTTGGCCAGTTGTCTCGTGACCATTATTGGTTCAGGCATATTGTGCTTTGTAGGGACAAATGTGCAGTTGTTTGTGGCAAAAGCCTAAAAGTGACAAACTTGTAAATTATTTTGTATATAAACTAAACTAGCTGTAACCTGACTATCCTTTGTGTTTACTGTTTTTGTAATTTTCCTTTTGAAAATGAAAGGGTGTGATTCAAGATGGCACTTTGAATATGTAAATCAGTGGAAAGTGTATTTTCTTTACTTTTGTCTTTGTTTTTTTAGAAGTTTTATTATTTTCGAAGTGCCTCCCACCTAGGGCTAGGCCATGACCACTTTGGGTACCAGAGTCTAACTTCATGGGACTCAGTCTGTTGCAAAGTGCCGTCACTTCTGGAAATTAACCTCAATTCAGGTCAGCATGTGAAATGTTAGTTTTGACTTCTGGCAAGTAGGGTTCAGGGACTGATTGATCCCATTTGCGCACAGGTCAGTTGTCCTTTAATTTCAAGACCTGTTACTACTGGTTTTATTAAATCAGAGTCTTTAGTTCTTGCATGTTTATATCAAATTTAAAAGAATGAGCACACTTTAACCAATGACTTACGGTTACCCTTTTCTCTTTCCTTTAACCACAGGTTCTGAAAGCTTTCAAGTATTTTAATTTAGATTTGGTGTGTTTAAGGGTTCTGAGCATGAGGCTAGCAGGTAATCTCTGCAGGATTCATTTTTTTAATCATGGCTGGCTGGCTTCTCCATAGATGGTTAACAGTATTTTGTTATCTTGCTTCCCTGCAGTTTTGTATCAGCAGTTTAACTTTGAGCTGAGAGCGGGGAGGGTCAAGGAGAAGGAAATTTAAAACATATTTTCTTTCATAGATTTCCATCAGTGTGGGCTTTGAAAAGAGAGTCTTGTAAAGCATTGTACTTAGTGACTTTCAACCAAAGCCTGTGAGTGTGAATGGGTGAGATGAACAAAGGAGGCCTCTTCACATTCAGGGTTAGAAACCTGCAATTGACAGCAGGATATGTAAGGTATGTTGGACGAGGGGAACCAAGTTTGCGTTTTCAAGGGCTGAGATGAAGGGAAGATCGCTACAAGATACTGTTTAAAACGGTTTAATGTCATTTGGTTTTTAAGTACATTTTGTACACTAGTGGACAGTTCTAGCATTTTATCTGGAGGATTCATTCCATGGTCGTCATCCTGTGGAATCAGGAGTTTTAGCAAGTTTGCTGCAGCTTTATCTTGGCTTTTAATAAGTTTGGCTGGTGTTCTGGTCACAGAGCTAACTATGAAACATGTCCACGCCGCTAGGATTGTTCAGTGCTATGCTATCTATCTTCTGTTGTTACGACTATTTATTATGGTTAGGTGGTATTCCATTGATTGTTTAGATCACAGCTCAGTTCCTGTAGAAAACGAACTGTAAAACCATCTGAAGACCATACAAGAGGCAAAATAAAACTTGAAGTGAATGTGTGTGGTCGTGTACTGTGTAAACCTCCTTCCTGTTTCTGCCTCTTACGTTTTCTCCTGCCCTTGCATTCCCGAGCAAGTGTTCCTCCTTTCCACAGCTGTTCCAAGTTAGGGACTGGATCTTGAAGGCAGTTCTCTCCCACTTCCATCTCCACTAAAAGATTGCTTTCCATATTTTCTTCAAGGCAAAACAAAAGACTGGCTTTGGCTAAGCCACCCTCTTGCCACAATTATAACCTGGGGGTAAATTAGGGCAGCTAGTTTGAGTGAGTTCCTGCCACCTAATAGAATAAGGAACACAGTTGCCTGATAATTTGGTCAGAAGGTGAAAGTTGGGGGCGTAGCCCAAATTATGAGGCGGGAGTCTAAGAAAGATGTTCCTGGACTAGCCAGCCTCTGTCAGGATAAGCAATTAGTCCCACGCTTGAGCTAACGTCCTGTGCTAGCAAGCACCAGCATCCAGCCAGCATCTGAAGTTCAGTGAAGATACGCCACCATCTGGATAGTGAGCTGAAGGGTTGTTAAGAGCAGGGAGTACATCCAGGAGAGGATGGAGTGGTGGGGATACAAAGTACCCGGAGCTGAAAGTCTTCCTTCAGGCTCCTCGGTTCCCTTGAAGGGAAGGCAAATCTGAGCGTATTCGCTTTTATAGGAAAAACGCTGCACTGTATCTCGCCTTTGCTGGGGGAATTGGAAAGGTTTCCATTCTCAGATACTTCTTTGACGAAAGCTTACCCTGGATTGGGAGAGGGGACACTAGACAGAGTGCAGAACTAGAGAAAATGGAGGCAGGAACCGCCCTCAGAAAGTCTTGAAGTGAGCAAGGACGTTAACGTTAGTCCCAAGTTGATGCTTTTGTGATGTTACTTGCTCTCTTTGCGGTCTCACAGACGCAACAGGTCTGAGGCTCCTGAACAAGACTGGGCTGATGGAGCCCCTGACCGGGGGCGCCTCGCGAGCGTCTCCTTTAATAGGCGGGGCCGGAACCCCAACGAGTCCCCGGCTTTGTACGTGTCGGGGGCGGAGCCGCAGACGGCCCTTGCAGCATGGCCGCCGGCGCTGCCGCCGCCTTAGCCTTTCTGAGTCAGGAGAGCCGAGTCCGGGCCGGGGGGTTCGGCGGTCTGCGAGTCCCTGCCCCGGTCACTATGGACAGTTTTTTCTTCGGTATTGAGGAAAGGAGGAGCTGAGGGTGGTGCGGGGGCAGAGGCAGGGCTGAAGAACAGGAAAGCAGATGGGTGCACGACGTGGGTGGGGGCGGAGGGGGCCTCACACGCGGCAGTTGGAGCGGAAGGGGGTAGCCAGGCCCCTGCCCTAGTCGTGCTGGGCGGGGTCCGGGCCGAGCGCTCCAGGTTTTCCTGAGGAGCGGGCGTGTGAATGGCCGGTCAGCCCATGGCTGCACGTGAACGGGATTCGGAGAAACGCCCCCGCACACTCACCCTGTTCTCTCTTCCAGGCTGTGAGCTCTCAGGCCATACCCGCTCTTTCACCTTCAAGGTAGAGGAAGAGGATGATGCGGAGCACGTGCTGGCTTTGACCATGGTAAGGGGCGGGTAAGGGGAGTGGCGGGGAATAGGTTGACCTGAGCGGGCCTCTACCCGCGTGTCTCTTCCCTTCCCCCGCTTTACTGGGAGTCACCTCCTCTGCTTAACCCCCACATGGGGGGTCCCCTGGCCAGGTGATCCAGGGACCCCTGAGGCTGGGCAAGTCGTAGGGTAGATGCCTCCGTTTGTGGTCTCCACCCTCACTGGGGAGACTCTGAGGCCCTGTGTACCCTTCCCAGCTCTGCCTCACTGAGGGGGCCAAAGATGAGTGTAATGTGGTAGAAGTCGTGGCCCGGAATCATGACCACCAGGAGATCGCAGTCCCTGTGGCCAACCTCAAGTTGTCCTGCCAACCCATGGTGAGTTCCCTTGGGGGATTGGGAGATAGGAATTGAGGACTTCAGGATTTCTCACAAGATGGGGTGGGCCAGACCTTCATCCTTGTCTTCTTCCCAGCTCAGTTTGGATGACTTCCAGCTCCAACCACCTGTAACCTTCCGCCTGAAGTCAGGTTCTGGCCCTGTGCGGATCACTGGGCGGCACCAGATTGGTGAGAGTCTTCTCCTTTGCCTCCAGTAGACTGTCCATCAGGACTCCTACCCCACCCCAGCCTTATCTCCCAGTGCGGTTCCTATACAGACTCTGTATGCTGTGCCCTCCACTTACTGTCCTACTCAAGCCATTCTTCATGGAACCTGTCTCGGCTTTTTTAGCTCCAGTGGTGTGGACTCCTTTGGCTCTTTGTTATCTAGTTTAGTATCTGAGGTTTTTCCCACCTAGACCATAAGTTCTGGGAGGTCAGGGTCCCTACAAGGTTAGAGCCACAGGGCATGAATAAATGACCTGTAGTATGAAGGGGGTATGGCTTTAACTTCTCTTCCTCCCTTTACTGCTTGTGTGTCTACCAGTTACTATAAGCAATGATGTTTCTGAGGAAGAGAGCGAAGAAGAGGGCAGTGAGGAGGAGGAAGCTGAGTTGTGCCCCATCCTGCCTGCCAAGAAGCAGGGGGGCAGGTTCTAACCCTCCCTGGTGAGTTGGGTGGGAGGCATGCCCACCAGGGCCTGGGAGGGGACAGGAGGAGCAGATTTGGACCTAGATGCTGACCCCTTGTTTGCTCTCTTCAGGTCAGCTAGCTGCCTGCCACATGCACCATGCACCAGGTTCCTGTACAAGTTTCAAGAATTTTGTGTCTTTTCCATTGAAGAGGATGGGTAGTGGTGGGGTGGGGTGGGTGGGGTTTGGTCTGGTGCTAGGAGAGAGGGGGTCCCATTCTCCATAGTGCCCTGGTGTTCTAATCCTGTACCACATCCAGAGCTTCCCTTTTCTTCAGGAGTGGGAGGAACTCTGAACTTCCATCCTGACCCTCTCTCCCCACTTGCCTGTGAGGTTGGAGGTCAGCATCTGAAGCTCAGGACTACACATTTTTAACATTTTTTTACATTTTTGGATAAAGGTTGAAATAAAGTGGTGTGGAGTTTTTTCTGCAGCTCATTTGTGTGGCTTCTTTCCCTGCTGGGGTGGCATTCCCCTAGGGACCACCAGGTGGCACTGTGGCAGCACAAAGGGTGGCCCTGGGCCTGGGGGAGGGTGAGGAAATGTGGAATCCTGCTCTTCCCAGGGCCCTGGGACTAGCCCAGGCCTGGGCCCCAAATGCCTTCCTAGAAGAGGACCTCCCAACACCAAGCTCGTTCCCAGTCCTTAAAGGTGGGGGAGGGCCATCCCAGGAGGTTATCAGCATCAAAACAAGGGGTCTGGGCCTCTGTCAGCACTCAGGCTGATGGGCAGGGGGACAGATAAGGGGGCTTAAGCAGCACGAGGAATGTGCATCCCTAGCCCCATGAGGGGGCTCAAGCCCTGAGAGGGCCTGTGAGGGGTAGGGTAGAGGCCAGTCTTTGCTCCTCCTTGCAGGCATGCAGGCCATCTCTGAGCCAGCCTGGGCCCTTAGAAACCTGATTCCAGGGGCCAGATGGAGGGGGCTGGCCAGATTGGGTGACAGGGAAACCAGAATCTGGGTGGCCTGGCATATGGGGGTAGAGAGGAGCCCCTGGGATTCAGCCTCCTGGGCTAAGGGGTTCCTGCCCCCCAGCCCTCTGCCTGGTCTGTGTGTGTGTGTGTGGGGGCGGTCTCTGGTGCCTGAAATAAGGTGGTTCTAGGGCTTGGCTGCTGCTGTGCCAGGAAGAGAAAGGGATGTACCTGGTGTGAGCATGAGTGTGTATATGACCAAGTCTGAGGTCAGCAGTTCAGCAGCTGTGTCGGTTGGGGGGTGGGAGGGGTGGTCTCCGTGCCCCATAAACAAACAAACAAACAAAGGGTTACCTCATGAGACAGCCTGGGGCCAGACATGCTGAGGAGGGACAGAGAACAGTGCCTGGTGGGACCCGGCCCACTCCCTCCACTCTCTCCCACACTGGCCTCTGGGCAAAGGAGTGAACAAGTGGGAGGGGTCCCTAGATAACCCGAAGAGGCTGGTATTGGGGCAGGTGTGGTAAACTTTGGAGAGTGTTTCCCACAACACTGAAAAGCACTCCCTCCTCAACACATCCCTGGGGGAGTTTCCCTTCTCCCTGTGGTGAGGACCAAACAGGTCTGATTTTTAACCTGGCTTTTTCCTCAAGTTGAGGATAAAGGAAGATGATCCCTCTCTCTGTTGCGGTGATCAGGGTCGCAGGCCCCTTTCTCTTCTCCAGGACTTTCTTGAAGTGCTTCCACCAGGAACCGGGGTGGAGGGGGCAGCCAGAATGGAACCATTCACCTACCCGCGGCACGGGGTCAGGAGGTAGAGGGGAAGGTGGAGCTGGCGCCCTCTGGTGGGCGAGGTTGAAACCGCCTGTGGCCGTGCGGCTTCCCGCGCCGCCTCTCTAGGGGCTCTTAGGGGTACGCCGCGGTGCAGGGTCCTACGTGCCCCGCCAGTGGTCTGGGCGACTAAGGCCGACTTCATTCGTTCGTTCATTCACGCATTGGAAGGGCTCCTGTTAGAACCCTTCCCTTCTTCCTCTCGTCTATAGCCTCCAAAGTCCTTGGCACGTGCATGGTTGAAGGCGCAGTAGCCTGGCTGAGTGCAGCGAAGAGTCATCCCTCGTGGGAAGCCTCCCCAGCAGACATATCTACCCCCTGTGCGTGGCCCCGCCCAAATATTTACCCCCCGCGACGCGGCTGATCTCTCATTGTACGCCTTTGCTGGTTTCTTGGTGGGTCTTTCCCGCGGCCCCTGCCGGCGCCGAGCGCTCTCCTGCCCGCGGTGGGGGCCCAATCCACATCTGCTTCGTCCAGGAGTTTCCCGGCCCGACGGGGCGCCCGGCGGACAGAGCTGGGAATTGTTTTTTCTCCTTCCCCGCCCCCGCCTCTCCTCGATCCCCCTTTCTGCCCTCTCAGCGCACAGTAGGAGAGTTGCCAATTCACTTTGGCCCCTGAGAGCTGAGGGATGAAGGCTTACGCCAGGGTCTGCAGACTCTTGGAG